AAGATTAAAATCCTTCTTTCTTAATCCTGGTATCTCATCTTGTAACACATTGCCCTCTATGCATCTGTGCTCTAACACACTTGTTGTAAACACGTTATGCTTTGCAGTGGCCCATCATATATAAATCTAGTAATTGAAATCTGAAACCCTCCTAAAATTTGCACAACAGTGTTCTTTAAATCCAAGAGTTTAAAAACTGTTTTATGTAAACAAACATATTGCATTTGTGACATCAAGAGTTTTCTTTTTTCTCCCACTCTAACAGCCCAACACAAAGCCCTCTGCTCTAGTACAAATACGAATCAATGGCACTTCTTGCCTAACTCAGCGTGATGGGCATGTGGTCTCTAAGGAAAGAGTATCTGCTTTTCTGCAACTTTGACAGTAAAGCTAAACTTTGTGTATTCATGACTTAACCCTGACCATGACGCTGATTGCGTGCCAACACTTCAGAGCCTGTGCATGTGTGTCATTTAGTTTTTGGTTTCCCTGCGAAATCTTATCAAAAGTTGTCGTTTTCACTTAAATTGCAGCAATCCCCACCCGTAATGACTGGATCGCACAGTTCCCACAGTTTTCTGTTACCACCTTCTTACTCTCAAGCACAGGCAAACCCATGCATACATGCACACAATATATAATGCTAGAACCAAACACTGGGCCTGTGTGTAAACAAAGAGCCTTGTTGACTCTAAAATACAGCTTTGCACACCCTGACTCGAGGTGTTTGCTAGCTGGTAAAATATTAGCTTTGGATTGGCGGCTGTCATGAGCTCATCGGACAGACACGGTCAGGTGTGTATGTATGAAGTGAATCCATAGTTAAGCATAAGGATACGATGTCACGAGTATCACTAGCAGGATCATTTGTATTTGCATGTGGCTGCGTTTGATGCTTCACCAGACAGTCACAATAAAATGATCAAAGAATACAGATGGAACAATCACGATAATACAGTTTTTCCCTCAAGTCCGTCTTTTTGTCTGAACATATTAAAGTAAGCAGACCTTCTCTTAAAACTAAGTGTCCAGTTAGACTCTTGCTGGTCTCTCAACCATCCATTAAACGTAGCAGTGATCTAGTTTCCTCTCAGCTCTATACAAGGGAAGCCCCAGAGAGAGGAGTGAAGAGTTGGGCTGGAGGGGCGCCAGCGTATGCAGAGTGCAAAAGGAGGTGAGCCAGCACCTCAGCGTAGCTCCAAGCAGCTGGCGGTCGACAGAGCAAATATACATTTAGAGCAGTGAAAGCAGCCGCAACTCCCACCGTGATTGTGACTCTCCTGCTGCAGCTGCCTCTGGCTTGGGTCTACCAGTTGGCTCTAGATATTGTTTTAGATAAAGAATAGAAGTAGAAAATACAACTAAAACAGTGTTTTTCTTTACTTTAAAATAGAAAAAAATATCCCTACATAAAAACAGCCTTTAGACTCAAACAGGAATCCATTTGCCACACGACGGATTAACATTATTAGATTGTCTTTTTTTAAAAATTTTTGTACACAGTAAGTTCCACAGTGTTTAATATGCAGTGTCAAAGTACATTGTCTCTTTAAGAGTTATTACAACAACAACTGGAGTAAAATATACACTACATAGAGTTCTAATTTTACACTAATTCAGAGTCGGACCAAATGCACTTTTAAAGTGTTACTTTAACACTAAAAAAAATTACTTTGTATATATTTAAGTGTTAACTTTATTTAGTTTATGTTAATTCAAACGGTAAACAGTGATTAGTCAGAAAATGGGGGTTGTAACAATATAGTAAGGATGTAATTGCATTAAAGCTCCCACCATAACTATCATGCACAGTTTTCAGTTTACCTTCAGCAAGCAAATTATTACTAATTATTAATTACTATTATTAGTTAATTTTCATTGCATCAGTTTCAAATACCCGCAAAAATGTTTTAACATAATATCTGTCGGGACAAAATAAAGTCAGACTAACACTGCATCTAACTTAGTTTTTTGTGAGTTAATTAGAGAGATGATCCTCTAATCTGTTTTAAATTATCTTTAAATTCTCTTCTATTAAATTTGTGATTAAGCCTGCGATTTTGAAGGCTTGAGGTGAGGTTTATCTTACAGTGCTGCTAGTCCAGGCTACGAACACAACCCTGTAAAGCCATGACCTCCAACAAAAAGTACGAGAGTACGGAGACGAGTTGTGTTCCTTGAAGGAAGCTGCACATCGTTGAAACCCTTCTCAGCTCGGCTATAATGTTTACTTTTAAACACCGGTGGTTGAAATATTGTCTCTTTGCTTTTGCTTTTATCTGGTTGCATCTGAGTTAATGTATTTGACAGCTAAACAGTCAAACATACCAGGAGTTTTAGTAAGTGTGACGACCAGATTCAGTTTTAATGTTTATTTAAAAATCTCTGTTGTCACTGTTGCCTTGTTTTAATACTAAGAAAATGCAAATACGCCAAAAGATTTCTTTAGATGAAAATATTTCAAAAGGGTTCCATATTTGTGTATAAGGTATATGTACCGTTTTTCTGTAATCGTGTATATGTGTTTTGGGTTTGTCTCAGTACTGTATCTGTTTCTATAATAAGCTGTTACTGAAAACGTTTATAGTTTAATTTGTTTCTAAAGCTATCACTCCCTGCATAGAGCTGCAAGTCATTTCTTTTTATCCCCTCAGACTAGGTTTTCATGTAGATTTGTTTGCTGAAGTGCTAGGCTAAGGCTAGCCTCTCCTCTTGGTTTTGATCCAGTCAGTCATCTGCAGACCTGTGATACAGGGGGGGGAAAAGTGTCCCCCTGCTTCATTAATTTTTTGAATGTTGTGAAATGTATTGGCCATTTTATTTCAGCAAAAACAAGGAATTTGACTTTGGTTTCACTGCCTCGCAGACATTAAAAGTAAACTTTAGGGTATATAAAATAAGGAAAAGGACGTAGATGCCTATTTTTCCAAACACAAGTTAGAACATTTGAAATAAGCTTGTTTTTGTTTCACAGAGGAGCTGACTAATCTGGCTTAGGGTGTTGTTTGTGTACAGACAGTGTGAAGCAAGAAACTGTTTGTAGCAGTTTGCAAATAGTACTCTGTAGCATCAACCAAAAGCTAAAGGTCAAAACAGTTTGTGCCCAGAATCTGTGAGGTCTGCAGCGATGTCTGCAGCCGGCTCCTGACCCAGACCTCTGTTAGTCCTGAATGGTGACAGGGTCAGCTCTGATAACTCTCTGTGCAATACCAAATGTTCGTTTTGTTTCTGTGTAACCTGCCGCATGCACAGCAGGTCACACGATGCAAAAAGGAAGTTGCAGCAACCACTAGGGTCACTTTGTTTTTCCTGTCAGTATCATTGTGAAGAACAGGCAGTTAGCCGAAAAACCATGATTATTTTAGAGTAAAATGTATTGTTCTTAGAACAACACAAGCTGCTTTAACAAAATAAGCTGTAATAAAAAGAATGCCTTTGTATAGAACTGCTTCATAGCTGATGGAGGAAACACTGTAGTAAGGACTGACATACAATCACACCAGTTTAACAGCATCAACTGGCAATTAAAGAAAGTCAGCGACTTTAATACCGATCATTTAAAGAAAGATCTTTGTTAAGGAAATGTGCTAAAAAGTTCCAATACAGATTTCGCATTCCAGATTTATGAGGTTTTTGTGTATCAAAGGTTAACAGAACGTTTCGGTAACACATATTTATGTGTGTGTAATGTCTTATGTTTAGATATCTAAAGTAGAAACAAATCTAAATACAAGCTCAAATGATCTGTGTTTAGTTTTGGTGTCCTTTATATGAAAAACAGGGACTTATATAATCGAAGATTGTAGCCAGATGCAAATGGTCCTGACTACCATTCTGCTGACGTCAGAAGAAGGAAGTGTTATTTATTTATTTTGTAATCTACACTTTTCCGTCTGTGCGTTTACAGCGGTGCTTTTTGGCAGACTCTCAAAGGGAAGTAAACATGGAAAAAAAAAAAAATCTCCTCTTGGATGAGGTCAGATTGGGATCACTTGTTATAATTGCCTTCATGTTGAGCACCATGTGTGTTTGTGGGTGCATTTCTACGCGTGTTTCCTCATTGCACATGTGTTTCTCACATGACTGATTGCGCATTACCAGGCTGGTGATATGAAGCAGGAACATGTTTATCAGTATAGCAGTGATGTATGTGGACTCTCATCTGCACAGAGATTAGAACCAAGAGTGAGCAGCATTGCACCGCCCTGCACTTACCAAGTACTGAAAGTACATTAAACTCTTTAAAATGACGTCTGTATTTGTATCCACTGCTGTGAAAAAGTATTTGAACGCATTTTTTATGTGTTTTTTTTTTTTTTTTTTTACAATTAGATGTTTTGGATCATCCAATAATTTTTTATTTTAAATATAGATTGAATAGGTGAAACAAGAATTTTTAAAGTAATTTCTTTTTCTCCTTGCTGGCTCTTACAGTAACTATAATAATGCACATTTCTGTGCAGTTTAACTTTCTGCACCAGTTGTTTCTTGCAAAGATTATAAAGACTTTGTTCTTAATTCAAAAGAAAATGTAGTCGTTTATAGATTAACTAAGTTTTTAGGACATAATTTCTTATTACAAATCTCCCAACTTTACAGTTTAATCTAAATAAAAAAAAAAAATTTCAAGTGAAATGATCTTGCTGCAAGCATAGATGATCATGACTAACTTTACTCTCAGATTAAGTGTTTTCAACTTATTAGACACCTCACTATTGCAATGTGACCCTGTAAATAAAGAAATTGCTTTAATAGAGTCAGCCTGACGGGCTTGCTTGGCATAAATATCTCCAAAAAGCAACATAACTTGCCTTGATCTAAAAAAAATCACAAATAATTTTATGTCTAACTCCTGTCAGTCTGGAAAGGATCCCAATACTATTTCTAAGGCTTTTAAACTCCAGCAAACCACTGACGGCTAATATAATCAAACGGAGTAAACCTGGAAAATGTTATCTTTCTATAATGAACTGCTGTTGACTGCGATTCTTTCTTTTTAGAGACGAGGGGCCATCTCCTATGACAGCTCAGACCAGACAGCGCTATACATTCGTATGCTAGGTAAGTGTTGCCCCGTTCTTACCTTCACACACACATGCACACTTTGCAGACATGAGAAAGTTACAGTCCCCCCGCCTCGGACGTAAGCTATTCTGAAGGTCTAATGTCCTAAAAGGCATCGACATTGTCGATGGATTTCGGGATGAAGAGATTATGAAGATAAGAATACTCTATGTATTTTAAACTATTTCTGCTGTTCTTTTTAATCTCACTCACACAGCGAGCTTAGCTTGTGCTCGTTTGCAGGGATGCAAGTCTTTTGGGTTTGATCCGATTTGAAGTACACGGTTTGATTTCTGTCCTAAATAGAATAAAAGCTGGTGTGTTTGCTGTTTTTGCACGTGTCTTTGTGTACATACTGCGTGTGTGTGTGTGTGTGTGTGTGTGTGTGTGTGTGTGTGTGTGTGTGTGTGTGTGTGTGTGTGTGTGTGTGTGTGTGTGTGTGTGTGTGTGTGTGTGTGTGTGTGTGTGTGTGTGTGTGTGTGTGTGTGTGTGTGTGTGTGTGTGTGTGTGTGTGTGTGTGTGTGTGTGTGTGTGTGTGTGTGTGTGTGTGTGTGTGTGTGTGGCGGGGGGCAGGGTATCCACTTACCCTAAGTAACTCCAAACAGAAAAAGCCGTTTATAAAATGGAAGAGGGGATGAAGGGTTCATAGATCGGCCAGTCAGATGGAGCGAAGTACATCTGAGAAGGAGCTGGATCAGCAGCTGCTTCCTGATCAATAAGGTCATTGGGGATATGCATGCGATTAGAGCCTGATATGCCTCTGAGGTCTGTCTATTTGATGTTGATGTGGGAGCATAAAGGCAGCTTTAGTCAGTATAAACAGGATTTTGAATGGTAGGAAGATATATTAAAATAGAGTTGCTAAAATGACAGCCTATTGAGTTGAACCTTTTTGAATAACATTTGACAATTTGGAATTAATATAATTGAAAACTGTAAAACAGAACTACTTCCTCATGTATCTAGCCTGTTCTTTCTCACTCTCACTACAATTGGCTATTAAAAACTGTTTATTTGTGTGTGTTTATAGTTTGTGGGTGTTTACTTGCTAAAGAAAAAGGGAATTTCACCACTTTTTTGTGACTCAAGACAACTTCAAACTCAGGTTTACTAAGCCTTACCTTATCACAATGCCAAGCAAGACGCTAAAATTGCTGACTTATTTGCGTTTTTATACCCCATACAAAAAAAAGAAAACAAAGTTCACAAACTGTACTTTGAAGAATCTGCATTTAGTGTAGGACAATCCAATACTTTAGTCTGAAGGTTGTGTTTTTATTTGATTGGATCTAACTTAGCCTAGATTCTATGCTATACCCAAATGACAGGATGTAGAGCAACTGAATGAATATGGATTCCGAAATTAAAGCATTTAGAAATGTATAGATATAAACATATTTTTGTTTAGCAAGGCCAAACTGAGGTAAATGACAAACCTGCATGGTGAACACACCTAACCAATAATGTAGCTCCACTAAACACCATTAGCTCACTAGAATATTAACCTTACTACTACTAAACACATAGAAACAACTGTGGTTGTCAAATTTATATATTGTCCCGTCTCCTTCACTGCTGTGAACTTTTCCACCCTCTAATTTACACTGCGTCCACTCTGCAGCCAAGGAGCAGGTACTAGACCAAAATAGCTTTACCTAAGGATTTAAAGTAGTTTAAAGTTCTTTACTTTTTGTTTTAATGTATCCTAAAATTTTCTCTAGTTACAATGATGAGTACATTGAGTGCAAAAAATCTATATTTACTGTTTATTTTGGTGTGTTAACTGTTTAATTTTGCTTTGATTTTGTAAGTTATTCTATGAAGCCTAATGATCTAATATGTAAAATGGCTAATACACACATATATGTAAAAGGGATGTCCTGATCTGGTATTGATAATATAAGCCAAAAACACAAGTATAATATGAATATATGAGCCTGCATCTAAAATGTTTAAAATTTATTGTTAGAAATTGATTCTAAATTGGTTAGTTGTTCTTATACACATTGTTAACTGTTGTTTTTTTTATATAATATAACTTGATGGAGCCTTTTTACTCCATTCTGTGCAATGAAATAAATAATATGCATAATTTGTTCTGATATCCTCTCAAGTTTATAGTGGAATCAGCCAATACTCAAAGCTGTGATATCTGTATCGTATCAGAAATGAAAAGGCTGTCAGGACACCCTCAATATGTATTAATCTGGCCATTAAATTAGCTGTTTGTTTAGTGCAGAGTGCAAAGAACAGCCTAGAGAAGCAGAGACATATTGTAAATTATGGCTCAAAGCCATGAAACATTTTTAATTTGATCAGCTAAAAAGGCTAAATGAGGTTCACCATCTTGATCAGCACAACAAGAGTGACACAGCAATCAGGTAAACAATCATTCTATCCACCATAGATTGACAAGCTCCAGGATTTAACTGACATTGGGCTCAGTTTGCCCCAGACTGCTCAATCCAGAGGACCTTAGGCCAAATAAAACCTTTGTTTTCAAATCCCACGATGTGACAATTAACAGAACCCCCTTAGTAACGGAAGCTACTGCAATCTCTGCTCCAGTTGTAGACATGCCCAAAATAGAAAGTGATACTTATGAATTTTATGAGCAGATTTAAAGTTCGCAAAGCATTATATTAGAGAAGCCAAATGGTCTGCTAAGGGTTTCAATATTTGGCAAAAACAGCAATGCAGGCGTTCAGGTGGCTAAGCGGTTAGCGCATGCGACCCATATACGGAGGTCTTAGTCCTTGACGCGGCGGACCCGGGTTTGAATCCGACCTGTGGTCCTTTGCTGCACGTCTCTCCCCTTCTCTCATACCCCCTTTCCTGTCAGCCTACTGTCAAAAAAACAAGCTACTAGCAAAAACAAAAAAACCGACAATGCGCTACAAGAAGTTAGTTCTGTTATTAGGGATTAGTGAAATAGCAAAACCGTACCCATCGCTGTCATGTAGGGTGTTGGAAAGTCTCTGATTTGGATATATGCTGGTGAAGATTCTGTCATCCGGGTCATAGTTACACTGGATAACAGCGCTGTTTTTAGGTTGTTTACATAAACTTGTTAGCCATCATAAGTCATTCTAATAACTGAAAATACTTTACCTCCTGCAGATGATATAAATATTTGATAACAGGAAAAAAATACAACAAATAAAGATGATTTAATCCACTCAGGAAAAACAAAAATATCCTGAGTGGATCCTATCATAATTCATCCATGAAAGGGCTACTCAGAGCTACTGCTTTTGCTGAGCTGACTGAAGGACCTTTAGCTTTTCAATCACTTTCCTTGGCCAGCAATGACGGCAGCCTTGTACGTCATCGGCATAAAGCATTTTTTGTTCTGCCGGGTTTTTAATTATTTTACATTACACTGTGAGCAGGAGAAGCACGCTAATGCAGACTGGTGTTTGCCTGGGCCTGGCATTATTTGGCTAACTTAATGCTGATGTGCTTTCAAATAGCAGCACTCAGAGCTTTTGCCACATCATTTATAATGACCTGACCCACATCCACCCCAAAGCACCGGCACTAATGCACCACTGGGGGAAGCATGGACTCCATGACACTCAAAAACACACACAAAAGCATTTGAATCTGCAGATGTGACAGATGTTTATACATACAAACACACACTCGGTACCCAGGAATGCATGTATTGTATTTTTTGTTGCTTATCCATAGTTGTTTCTTTTCCTTTACACATTACAAAGACCTCAACAAAATGTGAAGCAATGTTATGCCATGAATTTTAATTCTTAGTTTTTGGTATTTTGATAGGAGCTTGTGTAGTGTTCAAACAGCTGTTTTCAAGTAAGTAATGCGCTGGTTGTGGGTACACATGCGTGCGACTTCACACTTTGGTTCCGATGAACTTATTATACAATCTGACGTGCCTTGCTGGAAATGTAACTTCTAGATGTTTAGCTCCTCGATCAGCTTACTTCCATATGCAGAGCTATGTTCAAAGAATTAACCCTCAAACTCTTTTCACAATCAGTAACAACAACACGTCAATGTTTCTTTTGTTCTGATTTTATGTGATAGACCAATGCATAGCAGTAAATAATTGAATATGAGGAAAAATGATGCAACAATTGTCATTGTTGTAAAAAGAATTATTCATTTTTTCTTTGCACTACAGGTGCTGGTCATAAAATTAGAATATCATGAAAAAGTAGATTGATTTCAGTAATTCCATTTAAAAAGTGAAACTTGTATATTATATTCATACATTACATACAAACTCATATATTTCAGATGTTTATTTTGTTTAATTTTGATGATTACAAATGACAACAAATGAAAATCTGAAATTCATCATATCAGAAAATTAGAATATTACTGAAGACCAATAAAAACAAAGGATTTATAGAAATGTTGGCCAACTGAAAAGTATGAAAATGAAAAGTATGAGCATGTACAGCACTCAGTATTTAGTTGGGCCTCCTTTGGCCTGTATTACTGCAGCAATGCGGCGTGGCATGGAGTCGATCAGTCTGTGGCACTGCTCAGGTGTTATGATAGCCTAGGTTGCTCTAATAGTGGCTTTTAGCTCTTCTGAATTGTTGGGTCTGGTGTATTGCATCTTCTTCTTCACAATACCCCATAGATTTTCTATGGGGTTAAGGTCAGGAGAGTTTGCTGGCCAATTAAGAACAGGGATACCATGGTCCTTCAACCAGGTACTGGTAGCTTTGGCACTGTGTGCAGGTGCCAAGTCCTGTTGGAAAATGAAATCTGCATCTCCAAAAAGTTGGTCACCTGCAGGAAGCATGAAGTGCTCTAAAACTTCCTGGTATGTGGCTGCGTTGACCCTGGACCTCAGAAAACACAATGGACCAACACCAGCAGATGACATGGCACCCCAAACCATCACTGACTGTGGAAACTTTACACTGGACTTCAAGCAACGTGGATGAAGTGCCTCTCTTCTTTTCCTCCAGACTCTGGGACCTTGATTTCCAAAGGAAATGCAAAATTTACTTTCATCAGAGAACATGACTTTGGTCCTGTTTCTCTTTAGCCCAGGCAAGACGCTTCTGACGCTGTCTGTGGTTCAAGAGTGGCTTGACACAAGGAATGCGACAGCAGAAACCCATGTCTTTCATACGTCTGTGTGTGGTGGTTCTTGAAGCACTCACTCCAGCTGCAGTCCACTCTTTGTGAATCTCCCCCACATTTTTGAATGGGTTTTGTTTCACAATCCTCTCCAGGGTGCGGTTATCTCTCTTGCTTGTACACTTTTTTCGACCACATCTTTTCCTTCCCTTCGCCTCTCTATTAATGTGCTTGGACACTGAGCTCTGTGAACAGCCAGCCTCTTTAGCGATGACCTTTTGTGTCTTGCCCTCCTTGTGCAAGGTGTCGATGGTCGTCTTTTGGACAACTGTCAAGTCAGCAGTCTTCCCCATGATTGTGTAGCCTATAGAACTAGACTGAAAGACCATTTAAAGGCTTTTGCAGGTGGTTTGAGTTAATTAGCTGATTAGAGTGTGGCACCAGGGGCCATCAATTTTGAACCTTTTCACAATATTCTAATTTTCTGATATGATGAATTTGAGATTTTCATTTGTTGTCATTTGTAATCATCAAAATTAAACAAAATAAACATCTGAAATATATGAGTTTGTATGTAATGTATGAATATAATATACAAGTTTCACTTTTTAAATGGAATTACTGAAATCAATCTACTTTTTCATGATATTCTAATTTTATGACCAGCACCTGTATATAAAACACAATATTATAAACTTTGATCAACAAAGCCCTTTTCAATGCTTGATCCCAAAAGGAGAAGTTTTTTGTACAAACCTGCCAACGATCATTAATTATTCGGAAAGCAGCTGAGGCCCATAATCGTTCAGGAGGAGCTACAGAGATCTGTTGCTCAGGTGGGTGAATCTTGTCCCTGAACACGTACTAGTCATGCGCTTTATAAATTTGCACTTAAGGGAGAAGGCAATAAAAAAAAAAATCTTGTCCAAGCTCAAGGTGCTTTTGTTAGAGGAGACCAAAATTAAACCTTTTGTCCCACATCACCATAGCAAAACATGGAAGTAGCCCCGAAAAGGTACTTAAGCAGGAGCAGCACCACTTCAACTTATTTGTTTAGGTAGCAGTCAAAGCAATCAAAATATAACATTAAATCCAAAAACCCCTTCAGACTACAACTGCTCTGATTCTTAACTAGTTTTTGATTTAACTCTGTTGTCACCCTCAGTGTCTCAGAGTTGATGCAGAGACTTGATGCTTACTGCTGTATCGAATATCAGGTGTTTTGTTTCTGCCTTTGGGTTGAAATCTGTAATAAAGCTCCTCATATTTGTCGTGTTTCAACACATCTCCTTTTAGTTTTTACATAACCTGCATGTAGTGCGGCACTTTTTCCCTTCAGCACATGGGAGGCAGGAATGTGTTGCATAGAAAGTTGTGTTCCTTAAAGAATTAGCCTCCCAGTTCAACAAAATTAGGTCATAAGTTATCATGAATAAGTATTATCATTTGAATGAGTCAGAATCGCGGATCTTCACATCTGGATGTGGTGAAACAGTGAATCATTCTCCTTCCCTTATACTAGGAGTTAAATATTGCAGTTCAGACCCTCTCATCCAATCCAAGAGAGGGTTTTTTTATTTTTTATTTTTTTTACATACGAACAACCAAAAAAGTCATTTAAGAGTGTAAAGACATTCGCTATCTCCAAGACATGCAGCTGTTATTGCAGCAAATTGCCAAATACAAATGTGCTTGACTTTTTTTTAGAATCCTTACACTGTTGGTCTATCACATAAAACTCAAATGAAAATAAAGGTTATTGATGAAACATGACTAAACAGGGAAAGGTTTAAATGGCATGAATCCTTTTGCGAGGCACTGTTGAGCCCTGGCTGGAATCTCTCTCTGGCATTTTGCTGCATCAGCGTCACAGCATTATCCTGTCTCCTAACTATATTCTCGCTCTCGACTGCAGTCTACATGCTGATCCGTCCGCCGTCCTTAGCTATGGAGACCGCTCCTCTGCTTGAGTACTAAAAACAGTCATAGTTCAACTCTAGATTGCCCTCAGTGGCTCTGAGTGCTAATAGTAGAGCAGACTGTCCTGACATGGCATTGCATGCTCAGCTGTTCACTTCTCTGTCTGTTTCCTCTTCTGGGACATGGGAGTGTGTGTGTTTTTTGTGTGACTGTTCCTGCACATGAATAGCACACACCAGACCTGAGCAAAAACGTACTTTCTGATTTCACAGCTTCTGCTTGTTTCTTACCTTTCTGAGATTGCCAGCTTGATGGGTTTTACCATAATTAGATTTAAAGTTATGCAAACAATTGGGTTTCTTTTCAATTAAATTTTCATAAAATGAGACTCAGTCAAGGGGTTTTCTGTCAAATCTCCAAAATAAAGGAGAACTTTATAAAACAATGTTTTGACAAAAACCTAGACTCCTTTCGATTTGTTTTTATTTGTATCGCCCCCCCAAAAATGAAATTTACATTATAATTAGTGTATGTTTGTATTTAATATCTGTTGACCATCATCAACTGAATTGAAATGGCTCAAACTGAATCTGTATTAATGTAGTTTGAAATCAAATACATTGGTTTGAAAATGATTTCACTAAATTTAAATAGAATTTAATGGGATTTTCCTTTTGAAATGGATGCGATTGTATTGAAAATTCAACTCATCTGTTTTTATGTTCAGTTCTATAATCAATTTCTGTTAAAAAATTCAGATTCTTGTGACATCTGGGTCTTTTAGCTATATAATCAAACCCAATTTTCACATCAGGTTAAGATTCTTTTACTGCATTTTGAGCTGAGGCAGTGGAGCTCAGCGGATATGAGCTCAGTAGATGTCGTCAACAATGTCAAACAACCTTGTAAAAACTGAAGGGCTAACAGTTATGCTAACTGTAGTGATTAGCTAAAGATGCTAAATGCTTAATTACAAAGATGCTAAATGCTAAATTATGCCACTAATGTTCTGGGCATTCAATTTTTCCCCATCTATATATTTGACATAACTGACACGATTTATGATATCTACAATGCTGATTAACGCTTCACTGCTTTAGCTTAAATGCCGTTTAAGAATAAAAGTGCTCAGCCTGAAATTATTTAATCTGTGTTTTTATTTCTCTGTGGCTGAAGGACCTAGAGGTTTGCCAAAGTAAATACATTCGTTTTCAGTTTAAAGAAATTCCTTTTCAGACCAATTACATGAAAACAGATTCAATACGGCAGTTAAAATTCAACTTATGAGTTTAAGCCTAGCTTGACATTCCTTGAAACAGGTGGCATCACTTTTCTCAGATTATATCCAAGATATAAATTTAAAACACGACTATAAAGAAAATATAGTCATATAGATACAGATGCCATGAACGTGCATCCCGCATTTAATGATTGTGAGGTGAAAATGATCTTGAAATGATACTTTTTGTATTTTGACGGAGAAAAGTTTTAAACCATCCAACATTTTAACATTTAAGTGGAGAAAAAAAGCCCCACATTAAGGAAAAATGTTGGATTGAATTCATTGATGGTACAGATATGATCATGCCAAGCTATTTAAATATATAATTAAGCCATTTGTGTAACCGATAATTATAATTTTTGAAATTTCTTTAGACAATCAACCTTTAATCGGTAACCCACATCATCCATTTTCCTCGGATAAATCTGTAACGCTTGTGGTGCGTTATCATTATGTATTCCTTAACCTTATATCTCTTTTTTTTTTCCTCTGGAACCTTTGTCTACCCAGGCTGTTTTGTTTTATTTTCTGTGCATTTCAGAATGGGGTCTGAGACCTGCGCCACTTATAGAGTTAAACAGTTAATTCTCTAGGAAAACAGATCTCTGCCTAATGCATCACCAGAGTCCAAACCATGATTAAAAGCATTGCAATTTTAACATTGTTTTCTAGTGGCTTTGGTTTTAAAGCCTCAGAGTGCTGTCCTAAAGTGTCTGGATTCTAAAGTAAAAATTAGGAAACTAAGGCTGTGTCTGAATGTCCACCCTAACCACTATATAGGGCACTATATAGTGGTTTACCCCATTTTAGATGAGTGTCCGAATGTCTAGTGGATGAAAAAGTAGTAGACTAAAATCTTCCACATGGGATTTGTTGTCACAGGGGCCCGCTGTCGCTACCCGGCGACAAATAACAAAGATGGCGCAGGCACCATGTTGGGAAGCAAAGTTATGTAACCAACGGGGAGCGAAAAGTAGCGATTATCTGTCCAAACGGTCAGTTAACCGAGTCCCCGCTCTATATAGTGATCGAGGGATTTAGGGGTCAGGGCGGACGTTCGGACACAGCCACAATCAAAATCACTTCTAAATTGAGTGGAGCTTGTATTTTTCTAAAGATCCCTTTTAAAGATTTTTTAAATAAAAAAAACTTCTCAAATGCTTCTCAAGTCTCCTTCAGTGCTTTTACTTCATTTAAAATTAAAAACCATACATAACGCAGAAAAAGATGTGACTGAATGCTGACACTCTAAAATGCTGCGATATTTATCAAGACTGGGTTCAAGTGTTGGGTTTGGACACAAAATACAATTGTTTAAAGAAACTTAGCCCAAGAGAGAATGCAACAACTCAAACAAAAGGCTTTGATAAATAGAAATTAGCCTCATCTCACCACAAAGCTCTGACTCTTGTTCAGGGTCCATTTAAAAATGCCTCTCCTTCAGCGGAGCAGTTTTAGAGTCGTTTATAAAACTCACTATGGTCCTGAAAAGCTTCCTTGGGTTGAAGAAAGCCCCATTTCTCTGCGTCGCTTTGGAGAACATTTGTAAAGCAACCCAAAATGTGACAAATCCACATTCATCCTGCAGCCATGTGGAGAATTTAGTAAGGTTAAAAAAAGTCTGCAAAGCTCCCAGTTGGAGGACTCCTTCAAAAAAGTGATATCATGCAGTTAATAAGTCTCCATTTTATCCAACAAATAAAGAGTATCATTAGTTATTAAACAGTCATCTAATAATTCTTTTTATTTTTGGATGTTGCCAGAAACCCATTTAAAAAGATCGTCCTTCAAAAGCTGAGGCCAAAAGACAAGTTTAGTGTCCAGTGTTGACTGTTTTTGTTGTCTAAATTTAAGGTGCGCTTGACTTATTTTCCTGCTGCGCACATCATATGGTAAAGCCCGTCCTCTTGGCACTCGAGGAAAAAAATTTTTTTTACGAATAACGAGATGTAAATCAGTTTAACCCTGAAAAGTAACTCTAAACAGTTCTTGTTTGAGAACAGTAATGATTTTTTTAAATTTTTTTGCACGGTATGAATCTTGAGGAAATAAGTGTTAATTTCTTCTAGGAGATGTGAGAGTAAGAAGTCAGGTTGGATTTGAACCGGAACGACGAAGCTCCCACCCCTACCTTTGCATAGACTTCCGAACTCTTCACAGTGAGTATGGACCCCCAGTCCGCTGTCTTAAATCATTCCCACTAGACGCCAAACCCATCACAACCTGCTGATCACCTATAAAAAATTTTCCATTGCATCAAAGCAGTTAATACCCTATAGACCCAGGGTGAAGCTCATATACAGCATGAATTTCGTGCTACCATTGGCTGAAACTATACATACAGAACTTATTAATTTTACACTTTAAGCCCCACTGATATATTCTTATCAAGTTGCAGAGAAACCAGTTCTAACAGGATCTGGTGATGCCCACGTACTATTTCATTAATTTTCATTAATTACTTTCGTCTAGTTGAAATAGCCTCGGCTGCATCTTAAGTTCCTACTCTCACGCATTTAGTTGGTAGGGAAGGGAGGAGTTTGCATTATAACAGATGACTATTTTGTTTTAAGAAGGAGGACTACAACTTTCACTATGCATACTTGACAGACGATAGTTTTCTTAGTTTTGAAAGTCTTAGCTTGACCACATATTCTTTCTTTCATTGATCAGCAAGCTTTCTAATCTAACTATATAACCCTGTTCCAGAAATGTCAGTCAAGCTTTAGGGCTTTGCTTGTGGAGGAGGTGCTTCTTTCTTGGCCTGTCAAATTTGTGGTGAATTAAAACTTTCTTAATTGTGCACAGTGACTATGGTTAGCCCGGAGCTTTCAGATTATAGCTGACTGAAGCCTCAGTGGTTCCTGGGTTGTACTTCAACATCCAGACTAATTCTCTTTCATCAGAGGTACCAGTTTGGATCTGACGGGTTAAGGTTCCCGTATAATGTCCATCCTCAGTCATTTTTCAAAATGTTTAAAAGCCTGGTCGATACCAGGGAACCAATCAGCATTCATTAGCTTTAACCGTTCAAGTATGCGGGGAACATATGAATAGCTTTGAAAAGCACGTGGTTTCTCTGGAACTTGCTTATAGACATTAACCAAATATTATTGGGGGGAATGCAAATACTGGAGTCTGTTTGCTTTATTATCTATTTGGATTAGAGAAAACAAATTCAAACTTGCTAACCCAGTTTTTAAAAGTCACTGAATCAGGAGGTGTTCATGCAATCTTCTAACCAGCCTACATGTCTTAAAAGAACAGAGTTTTGTTTTAAATGATCTGAGCGTTTTAAGTTCTTCTTAGAGTATAAACCTCCAGGCAATATGACCCCCGTGTAACATACTTGCCTCTGATAATGAGAGGCATTATAAAACGGTTGGTTCCTCTTCTGGAAAACTTAGTGAGGCACGCCTCTCTTTGATGTGATCAAGAACTTTTCTCTAACTCTTTATTGAAACAGACGAGTTTCTAAAATACTTGTTTTTAACTCCTGTGGATTTTATGACCACGAAGTAATCCTACCTCCCTCTGATGAACTTCCAGAGCACTGCTGCAGTTTAGACATACACTTTGCATTTGTACAGTGTGCCTTTGTGTGTGTGAAGGATAAAGACAACCAACAAAGCATGTCTGCTGTGTGATCCCAGACGAAAGGCTTATGAGTAGGCGGCTGTGTCAGCAGCGACTGTTTGGATATCGCTGTGTTGGTGTCGGTTCCCCACCGAGGCCGTACCCAGCCAAATGCTTCTCCGAGCCTAATGAGCTTCTGGGGGAAAACACACCAAGAGGTTCCGTTCATATGTCACATCGTTTGAAAAAAAATACTTCTTTTTGCAGCACGGCTCAGCTGCGGATCTTTGTCGTCTGACTCCGGTACTGAAAAGAGGGTCCACAGGCTGCTCAGCTTCCAGAGATACCTGCACTCGTCCCGTCTGCTGCGGGGAATCCCTCAGCAGATCCCCCTCCCCATCCTGGACGAAGACTACAGCGGACAGGCTAGAGTATGTAGCTTAGTGTTAAAAGAATGGAAAACATATCACTACCACATAATGAACCAGGATCTCCTGCATCTCTGTTTTTCTTTTTTTCTCTTTTAGTGCATGTTGGAAAAAGTTGGCAACTGGAATTTTGACATTTTCCTATTTGATAAGTTGACAAACGGTGAGTAAAAGTTGTTATTTTACATTAAATAAAAATGCGTTTAAAATTTGGTTGGGCCTAAAGATGCACTGACATGTTTAGTCTGATGATAGTCAGATATATGTAACTATTAAAAAGAAAAATGCCTTCTCCCTTGCACCACTACTGGCATACTTTGAAATTAAAGCCTGGTTGGCTCTGAAGTTTTTATATCTGAAGTGATGGTGTTTGGTCCCAGTAACCTTTGTGAATCCCCCCCGTTGACTTTTGTGTTTTAACAGTTTTTTTTTTTTTTTTTTAAAGCCTGTCGTCTCAAATTTGTGTTTTAAGATGGACAGAGATTTTAAATTGGATCGGCGAATCAGCTCTGTAGTTAAGTCCAGCTTTTATCATTTAAGACAGTTGGCCAAGGTCAAACCTTTTCTTGCAAAGTAGCACTTTGAAACTTTAACCCTCTCCAGGCAGATGTTGCAGATTTGCAACAGTTAATTACTCCACATCCATATTTTAAAAGCTTTTGTTACTCAGAAGTACAACAGAAGGACTTAGTTGTGCATTTGCAACAAACAGTTTCTCTCCAGTTCACCAGATAGCACTGCTGACTCACTTTTAACATGGCTGAGTCCTTGGCGTCTCTGAAACAGATTTTCTAAGCACCAATTTCATATAAGTATCACTACCAATTTCCATTATTTTGAAATCAAAACTACATAAGATGAATCGTGATTGTCTATAGATATGACACATGCCAATTAGTAGATTTGATCTCCTCTGGGTTTTTCACCAGAGGCATCTCAATTTCAATGTTGTGGATTCGCAAGGTGTGCCCAAACAGGTACCAATGGATGCTACATGCTTTATCTACTAGTTTGCCTATATTTAGGCAACAGTTTAACAGAAACGGCATTCTCAAAAGGTTTTGAGATGTCGTTGGAGAAAAAGTTTGAGGAAAAAGTTATATCTCAAATTTTGTGAGAGAATTTTTTTTTTCAAATTTTGTTTTGTTAATATTTTGTTTGTGACATTCAAATAAAGTTAACGTTCATATCAGATTCAGTCTTCAGTGTTAATTTACCACTCTGGGCCACTGTTGCAAATCTGCAACATCCCAGAATTCATTGCATGTGAAGGTCTCTCTCTCATAAAAAAGTCTGAATTGTATATTACTATCCCATATGATAATTTTCTCCAAATATCACATTTTTCCTGCAACTACAACTTAATTTGAGCCTGAGAGGGTTAATCCATGCCTTTGTTACATCTCGGCTGGACTACTGTAATGCACTTTATTTTGGGGTGAGCACGTCTCCAGTTGGTGCAAAATGCAGCCGCACACCTTTTATCTGGCCACCCTTCATTGGCTGTCTGTTCATTTTAGACTTAGACAGCTATATTGTCATTTTGTATACACAAGAGTGTTTACAAAATGAAGTTTCGTTTATACAGCTATCAGGCAATGAATGAGCAGCAGCTTAGCAGTAAAAGGGAATAGTTCTGTTTCATAAAGTGCAGCAGTGATTTTAGGATTCCTTTATTTGTTTTTAAGTCTTTAAATTGCTCGCCCCTCCCGACCTCTCTGAGCTTTTCCAGCCCTATGCTCCCACTCTGTGCCTCAGGTCAGCTGACCTGCTGTCTAAAACATATTGTGATCATTTGGCTTTTAACACAGCATGAGGCTCTCTCTTTTTTGCATTTGTGGTTTGTTTTATTGTTTCTTTTAATTTGTTTTAATTCATAAATTTTATTATATTTGTTTTATTTCTTTAAACTTCTATGTTGTTTATATACAATCTTACCTTAAGGGCTTTATAAATAAAGTTGAGTTGAGTTGACAGCTCTATGGCTGAACATCTGACAATGGTGCCCTCTACTGGCCGGCAATGCTCTACAGATATTACTTCATGATTCAATCATCTGACGTTAACAATGTCCTCTATGGAAAGCCTTCCAACAGGATAACCACCAAATCATAACACAACGGCTAGAAAACTTGAGTTTTATTCATGTATAAGAATGAACCAAAGTCCAGACCTGAATTTCTTTGTGTAAAACTTCAGACATTCTCTCCCTTCAATCACTGAGTTTAAGCAATTTAGCAGATATTGATTCAGGAACCATTCAAATGAAACGCATTGCAGTTTTGAACTGAAGTTCCATAGTTCTTTTCTAACACTAACCTTAGGGAAGTTAAGCCTCTCTATAAAGCATTAAGTAGTAGCTGTTCTTGCACAGGAAACAGCCTGATCACCCTGACGATCCACCTGCTGAACCAGTACGGCCTGGTGGACCTCTTCCAGCTGGATATGGTCAAACTCTGGAGGTTCCTGGTTCTGGTTCAGGAGGACTACCACAACGACAACCCATATCACAACTCTGTTCATGCTGCAGATGTCACACAAGCCATGTACTGCTACCTACAGGAGCCCATGGTGAGTCATTTGGCTTCAGTTTGTTGTTGGCCAGAAGAAATCCTGCAGGAAATCTTATAGAGTTGTTTTTTTTTTCTTGTGTCTCTTGCTAAGGATTACACATGCAGAATAAAAGGTTGATGACAGAACCATGATTACTGTCATTTGTAAATGTGCTGGTACTTTAACAAAATCTCATAACAGTGTCATTACTGCTGTCCCACCAGCTTGCAAAGTCTCTAACATCTTACGACATCCTGCTGGGAATCCTTGCGGCTGCCACACATGACTTGGACCACCCTGGGGTCAACCAGCCTTTTCTCATCAAGAGTGATCACTATTTAGCCACACTCTATAGAGTAAGACATTTCAGAGATTAAAAAGCAACCTGCCAAACTTTCCCGCATCCCATCAGAAAATGGGATGTAAATTGTGTGAATTTTTTTCCTTTTTCCCGTTTAAACAGAATACCTCAGTTCTGGAAAACCACCACTGGAAATCGGCAGTGGGTCTCCTGAGAGAGACCGGGCTGTTCTCTCATCTGCCAGCTGAGGACAGGTAACTTCAAGCCTCTTTACTGTATGTTACGGAGTGCAAAGACAACGACGATTACATGCTTTTCTCTGTAAACCCAGCATGAACATGGAGAGGGAACTGGGCTCTTTGATCCTGGCCACGGACATCAGCCGACAGAACGACTACCTGTCCAGGTTCCGCACCCACCTGGACCAGGAAAGCCTGTGCTTAAGCAATGCCAGCCATCGTCACTTCGCCCTGCAGGTTGGTGCACGTAACAGACCTCAGCCTGTCTGCAAAACCAGCGGGTTCTTATCTTGTTTTCCCTCTTTGCTTCTCCTCAGATGGCTCTGAAGTGCGCAGACATCTGTAACCCCTGCAGACCCTGGGAGCTGAGCAAACAGTGGAGCGAGAAAGTGACAGAGGAGTTTTTCCAACAGGGTATCCGTGACACACGTTATATTCAGTCACTTGCTCTGTGCTTTAGTTTTAATTTGCTCTCACTCTAAAACTGTTTATGCATAAATCATTTACTTCATTTCCGCGCTTGTTTCATGCAGGAGACATCGAGAAGAAACACAAACTTGAAGTTAGCCCACTTTGTGACAGAGAGAAGAACACCATCAGCAACATCCAAATAGGTGAGCATGCTAGCTATAAACAATATTTACCATTATAGATACTTATGGGCAGCAACATCCATCCTAATAATGCATCTTGAATCATTTTTTTTGCCTGTAAGGGAAGTTTAGTGAATTATCTAATCCAAATATTGTCAAAATCATACATAGAGTCAAAGATTTGGATACATCCCTACACATGTTTGATAAATGTTACTTGTTATGGTACTTGTTAAGGCTATTGGTAGCTTCTAGCATATTCCCAGCTTTATATTTTAGCACTATAGCTATCAAATATGGTTTACTGATAGAAATCTGACCTCCTCAGTATAGTTTATAAGAAGTCAGTAAGATTGAGGTGGGGTTTTTGCAGATGCACATTTTTTCCTTTTCTAGTACATCTTTGATGTCTTTATTTAGAGATAAACTGATAGGGAATTTTTTTAAAGGCTGATTATTTTGAGTCTAATGGAGGGTCTGAAGCCCTCACAACCCAAAGAACAGTTCTTTCCTCAGTCAAGCTAAATAAACTTAAAATGTTCTGTGTTTCTAGAAAAGGCAAGAAAATACAACATTTTTTAAAAATATCTACACACAACAAATTGTATCTTTAAAGAAACACCATTATAAATATGTTTTTAGGTTTAAAAAAACGGCCAAAATGGAATTCAGCATGTCTGGCTTTTTAAAGGTTGTTGATCATCCAGAAAACCGCTCTCATACTCCCGCTAAAAAACATCCTTGTGTCTTTAGGCTCAATCTCATGCACACATTCAGAGTAGTTAAAAAAAAGGAGTAAAAAAACTGCAACCTTTGTTAAAACATAAAAAGCAGGTTCTAAAGTTGTTAATCATTAAAGCAGGTTCTAAAGTTCTAGAGTCACTGTGGCTTCAGAGCCATAGGTTGTGGACCCACAGTCTAACAGATCTCTCATATGTACTGCAGATTTCTTTTAGGCTTAATTCTTGTAGCTTAATTGTTTTTTTTTCTTCTTCCATTTGAATGATGAAAATGGTACAAGGATATCAAATGTTACATTAAATTCAGTTTTAACAAAAAAAAGGAAAATTTATTTCTAAATCCAACAAAATATCAACCATGGACGGCAAATAGACGGAGCAGTCAGGCATTCACTCCATAATAAGCATGGCTGCTGAATGAATCGTCCAGGGGCGTCCTGATCGGCTGGCCTGGGAACGCCTTGGGGTTCCTCCTGAAGAGCTGGAAGAAGTGGCTGGGGAGAGGGAAGTCTGGGCCTCCCTTCTTAAGCTGCTGCCCCCGCGACCCGACCCCGGATAAGCGGAGGAAGATGGATGGATGGATGGACCCAAACTGTCTCCCTCAAATGAAAAAATGTTGGCCAACAACCAGGGCTCAGGTCAATCATGAACAGGAAACTGCTAAAACATTAAGTTTGCTGTTGGTATAACTAATCCAGTTATAAAAATAAAGAAAGCGCCGGTCTCAATCTTAGCAGGTAGGGGCCTGTCTCCAGCTGCCATAAGTCCAAATACATCAATCAAATTTGAATATTAAGTGCATTCATGCGTGCATTCATGAGTGCACCTAAACACCTGGTAGGAACCGTATAGTTTAGAGATAAGAACTAATGCCTCTGACTATCTATCGCCTCCAGGCTTTATGACCTACGTTGCAGAGCCGCTGTTCGGAGAGTGGGCCCGTTTCTCCAACACCCGTCTGTCTCAGACCATGCTGGGTCACATGGGGCTGAACAAGGCCAGCTGGAGTGGCCTGCAGCAGGAGCAAACCATCGTCTCTGAGGAGGCCGAGCTGAGCACGGCCAGTGAAGAAGCAGGAGGAAGCCGCTCCAAAGAAATACCTCAGGGAAGCAGAGAATCCTGACACTCGGTGTTTTTGCCCCCCACCCCTCCACTCTGAGGACAAGCAGAGCTCCCACTGCTGGCCTGACCTAATTTGAACACCTTGTTGATATTTTGTTGCTTTGGCCTACATCTTGATAAACCACTGATTTTTATTTTATTTTTTTGTATTTAATTTATTTAATTTTCTCTTTTTTTTTGGCATAGAGCAATACATAGATACCTCATTTGGCAACTGCTGTATTTCCTTTTCTTTTATTTGCTTAGTTTTATTTATTTAAGGACTGTATTTTAGGCATAATTGATAAAATATGCCAGTTTTTGTTGTCGTTGTGCAACGTTAAGGTGAAAGCAGTATAAACTGAAAGTTTTTTTTTTTTTTTTTTTTGGTATTTTTTGAAGTGCCAATTGAAAACAAAGATTAAAAAAAAAACTGACAGACAGCTGGAGTATTCAGACCCTCCTGAGACTTTCTGAGTATGCCGTGTTGCATCTGTACTAAAGATTCTTCCTAATGTAAAAGAAAAACAAAAAAAAAGAAATGTGACAAGCCCAGTCCTTCTGCTGCCTCTGAGAAGACTGTTTACACATCACCATGTTTGTTGTACTCTTTCCACTTGAACTGAAGTGACTCCCGTTGGCTCCACAGCTTGCCTTTGAAGCACAGACGTACAAAACGATGAGAACCACTCGTTCGAACTGTCGTCCCACTGTTGAAGCCATGAGCTGAACTTTATTCAAAACAAACCAGATGCCATATTAACTCCACCTGTGCTATAGTGTTGTTCCTGCACACCGGATGAGGTCCAGCTTCGTCTCCTTGACCTCCGGTCCTGCATCATCCTCAGTCCTGATCAACCACAGGGTGGTCCGAATCTTAGATCACACTTGGATCTCCTCTCCATGCAACTCCACTCGCTCAGGGTCTTACCAATCTTTTATTTTATCCAGCGAACGAGGAGGTTGGCTACATAAGATGAAGGTTGCTTTTTTCCCCCCCTGTTGTTGGCTTGGATAAGCCGAAGGAGACTCGCTCTGTGCAGAATGTCTCTCACAGCCACATGAATCCCACCGGACTGCTCGACGGATGCCTTATAACTATGCACAAACTATGCTAAGTGACCAAACCGACTCCTGTTCCCATCAAGTGCATGGTGTGCTTGTTTTTTTTTTTTTTAATGCACTGTCCCTTTGCCTTTTCTGTTGTAAGGAACAACTCCAGTTTCTTTTTTCTTCTTTTAGTGCAAATACAGAAACAGTCGAGTGAATTGAAAAACATTCCATTCCTTTTAGTTTGTCGGGTTTTCTCTGTTTTTGGTCATGTACAGTGGCACAGGTCGTGTTTGTGTTGAAACGTTTTGGAATGATAACAGGTGCTTTTCTTACTTTAGCTGATTTGTATTTTGCTGTAAAGTGCTGTAAGACTGTTGATACAACTGTTTACAATTTGTTGCGACAGCCATTTTTTGGGAAGACTTCAGTGTCGAGCCAGATTTTTTTGTAAAGGCTTTGCTGTATTGACCTTTTTGATACATGCCTGTTGCAGTTACCATTTGAGTAATAAAACCTGTTGTTGAATTTTCCATGAGTATGAAGGTATTTATGTAGCCTTCTAATGTTTAGTTTGGATTTAATCTGATGGATCATCATAAACTCGTTATAATGGAGAAAAGGGACCGTTTTCAGAAAGCAAATTTCCATATTTGTTTTTAACCTTCTTTACTCTGATGAATCTAAATAAATCCCAATGCAACCAGTTGCCTTCAGAGATAACCTAATTTCTTGATACGGTCCACCTGTTGTGTGCAGGCCTTTAGCCCGAACACAGGAACACAGCACACATTGATGGATGTTGGTGGTAAACTTCAATATAGTATCTGACTAATAACATCAGACAAGTGCAAGTCTTGCCCTATGATATGGAGATGTACGGAGCTGCAACTTGAACATAAATCTCTACCTCCTGAGCCAGCTAATGCTACTGTAGTGATGGCTGAAATTGCTGCTGCAAACACATGAAGAATTTGCAGTACATCTTAGCTTCACTCTGGAGGTGCTGCAGAGATCTACAGCTCCAGTGGAATAATGTGTCAACAAGATAGCAATCGGTCATCCAGAAATTGGGCTCTATTAAAGTCCACAATTCAACATTAAGACCCCACATTATCTGGAATTGCATTTAATTAAATTAATCTTTACCTTTTAGTCTTTAAAATATGTGGAAATGTACAATCATTGCATCATGACTGTACAGAGATACTATGGTGAGCTAGGATGTCCTGCTGCAGGGTTAGATTGTGTTTAATGCTTTTTTTTAAACCCTAAATATGTAAAACCAAACTGACCTTAATGCAATAAAATGAAGCCCTTTTTCTTTTCTTTACTTTTTAACTTTCCTAGTCACATGCTAAATAAGTCAAAACTTACTCTTCAAAACAACTCAAGATAAGCCCTATTAAAAATTATTAAATGTTTAGTTATTTTTCTGGTCCTACAATAAAGGGGTGCAAACAAATTACAGGCACTTCTGATTTCATTCAATCTCATTTAAATACAGGAAAGTATGTGGCTTTAGCGTAACAAAAGGTGAAAATAGAACTTGTAAACTTACACATGAGATAAACATGACTGTTATGAATTGGAAACTTCAATACAAATTTTCCTTGGTTTATGCATTTAGAAAAAGACTTGATTCAGCACAAAAAAGGACGGAGTAAGGAGATACTTTTATTAAGATGAAATACAATTTAGGAGATAAAAATCACATTTTACTGACCATCTTTTCTTCCCTTGAAAAAAAAAAGGACTTCAATAAGCAGCTATGGAGTGAAACCACGCTTAGAAATGGTACAGAAAATAAACAAAATGCCTAAAAATGTCTTTTTAAACCACATAACTCACGGGTTTCTTAAAGCTTGACTAGAATCCCCTTTGCTTTCAATTCTCAAAACACAGAGGTAGGTACAGACTAAACTCTGCACATGTAACTACGGCATCAAATATGAAAATATAATCCAATGTGGCTTTCCTTTACAGCACAAGTACTTTAATAAAATGAACAATGACATCAGTGGAATGTCTTTAGCTTTTAAAAGGGCAAATAAATAACTAAAACAGATGACTTGAACTGGTAAAAATACTAAAACATCTTCAAATTATAAAGTACCTCTAAATGCTACAAACAAAATTACAGTATTGAGCTAAACTGACAAAATAAATAACTAAGTATTGCAGAGTACAGATCCTTCATCTACAATACTTTACCAAATCTTTAATTCTGATTATCCCCTCTATGTGCAATGAGCTCGTTCTGCTCCTCCAAAACAGATCTGATCGTCCATTCAGATAAAGATAGACTTTATTGATCTCACAGTGGAGAAATGTGCAAAAAGTGAACACAAATAATTAGTGTTTGTGTTCAAATAAAAATCATGTTTGTAAAAAATAAAGCGGATAAAAGTTATAAAAAGTGCAAAACGAGATGATTCATATTTGGTCCAGGCTGGTTAGGTCGTAGAGGATCACCAAAAAGGATTCTTCAAAGAGTCAGTGGATATCCTGGATCACCAGCTCATCTTCTCCTGGTCAAAGGAACCGTTTCTTCCCGGTTGGTTTCAGCATGTGCTGCCCAAACTGAGGAAACCACAACAAAGCAGATCAAGAGTCTGCTATTTCACAAATATGCTAAACATTCACCTTCCAGTTGAGAACCAGAAGGCTGAAGACCTGCGTCTCACCAGAGGGGTTTCAGTTTGAGGTTTGGCTTCTGGGACGGCCACCTTCAAATCTTCTTTGTCGCATCCTTCCTGTCCGCTGTTTTTTCTAAACCGATGGGCGAACTTCCGCTTAAGAGCTTCAGCGATGAGACCTGCTGGGTCGGACGGCTCTTTGGGCTTCATTTTGCCAACAGCTTGCTCTAAACGGCTTTAAAAACAAAAAGAGAACATTTTAATTTGGGTCACAATTAAAGTTTATATATATAAAAATAATAATAATCCTGTCGAAAGTGTGAGACAAACCTTTTTACAGACCGCAGCTTAACCTTGTCTATGTCCTTTAGGATGTCCAGCATGCTGGGGATTTCTGCAGGCCGTGAAACCTCGACCATCTGCTCATCTTTCTTCCTCCCTCTCCTCTCTTTTATCAGCTCTATGGCTGAAAATGTTCGCTGCAGTGCTGGTGCAGGTGGAGGAGGTGGTGGGGTGGGAGGAGGGGGAGGTGGAGGGAGGTTTCCAGAAGGTGTAGGAGCCCCACTAGCAGCAGCTTGAGTAAAACATGGAGCAAAGCATAAAATATATAACTCAGATGTGGATCTGCTGCCATCTAGTGGAAAGATTACAGAAGAACGTTAATAAATAATAATTGAACTTTATTGGTTTTACATTGGAGAAATTTACCTCTGCATTTAACCCATCCCATTGGGGAGCAGTGAGCTGCCATGGAGGGGCGCCCAGGGAGCAGTGTGGGGTTAAGGGTCTTTGCTCAGAGACCCAGAGTGGCAGTCTGTGGGAGTGGGGCTCAAATCCAGAACTTCTGGATTCCAAGCTCTATGCACTAACCACTAGGCCGCCACTCCCCTTAATCATTGGTTCATGCAATGAGAAAACGGTAAACTTTATACCTGACAGTGCGGTCTTTTCCTGAGCCATGACAATTTGAGCTATCTGAGCTCTGAGTTTGGCAAGTTCCGTTTCTAGAGCGTTGATCTTCTGGATCGCCTCGTCGTTTGCAAACGTTGGACCTTGTGGATCAGGAGGGCCCTCATAGAGACCAGGCAGGGACCTGCGACGGGAGAGGGGTCTTCTCCAAGGTTGAGGCTGCTGGGCTCGAAACATGAAGCCCGATGGGATCCCCCGCCTGCTTTAATCAGGCCACAAGTCAGAAGGGCTCCAACATTTTTATACAGGGATTTAAAAAAAATATTTATTTCACCTCAATATTCCCTCATTTTTTCATGTTTTAAACACGAAGCTTAGATATATTTATTAGACCTAAATACAACGGGGCAAAGCATAGCAGTGAAGGGGAAGTGACTATTTCTGTTTGTCCTATCACAGATTCTTCCACCTGAGCTGAGAATCTCTGCAGCTCCTCCAGAACTTCCTCTTTAATACTGAGCTCAAATTGCAACAGGTGGACTATTTCCTAAAAGGGAGATTTTTAAAGGTAATAGATGGTCTTATATTACATTTATAGGTATCAGTGTATAGAAGTCTAAAAATAAATGCATGTTGCTTTTGTTAAACCTCATTTAGAAAAAAACTAAAGACTCTTCTTTTAAGAAGCACTACTATGGGATGGTTTATGACCTGCAGTCCCAATCAAACACTGAACTCTCAGAAAAGTGAGCACAAAAAACGTGAGAAAGATATAAAGGATGTGAATATTTTCTCCTGCACTTTATGATGTACCATGTTTCACAGAAGCACATTGGCTCTTAGAGCTTCGGTTTGATGCTTTTTACCTGGATCTGCCCAAGTAGCCTTCATCATCCTCATCATCCTCGTCCATCAGTGAGATATCAGCTAGAGAGGCGACCATGTTGGTCTGCCTCCTGACACCAAGAGCTCCAGGCTCCTCAGCATATGGGTGAAGCTGAAGGGATGGAGGGAAAAGATGTTAGACATTTTGGAAAAATAAAAAATAAAACCATGATGAGGTTAAAAGAGAATGAAACCATAAATCTATTCAACTCTAAATACTGCTATAGCTCAACAAAACAAAATGTCAAAAAAATCTAAATTAAAAACTAAAAATAATAAAAGAACTTTATGACAGTGCCAAGAAACAAGAACACCTTTATTCGTAGAGCAATTAACGATATTGATCACCAAATGCTTTAGCTAATTTCAATTAGAAGCTGCGACTGAATATTGACAAAGAAGAATGTACAGTGATGTGCAATGCAACAATCCGATTGTGTTGCAGCAATATAAAGAGTTGCTAGACATTAAAGAAATGACCAGTGGACATAGTGCAGCACTTGCTACAGAATTATATATTGCAAAGACCGGAGCACAGCCAACATGTATAAGTGCCTAAAAACTAATGATGAGAGCTGCATCTTTGATCTGCTGCAAAAGCATGTTTAAAAAAACAAACAAAAAAAACAACATAGACCTTATGTCAATGTTTCTCTCGTTGTTCCTGTTTCCAACCATCCAAATAGGATGTAAATGTAAATGTTTAAAAGTATTGTCATAAAAATGCTTTGTCTATTTCCTTTAAATATCTTAAGATATCAGTTTAGTAGGCATTATAAGGCAGTTTTGTAGGATCTCTGTGTAATTTGCATTATTAAGCCCCAAGAGGTGATTAAAAATAAATAAAAAAGTCATGAATGACATTTCTGTAGCCATGAAAGTTTAGTTTTCATCAATTAAGAGTTAAATAGATGTTCATCTTTTCCAAATTGTTCTTTCAACAAAGCACATCCATCAATAATGAATTTAAAAGTAAATATTCTTAACATGATATATGTGCATTTTCCTTTTGAATTATTAAAATATTAACCCCAAGTAAATATGATGCTATTAGTTATTTTTCTAGTCCAAAGCTAAAGACTGAAAGTCTAATATACAATAGAGTAACTAAGCTGTTATAAAGGTTCAATTTGTCTGCATCTATTATAATTATTTTTTTTTTTTTATGCATACAGGATGTGAGAAAAACACGTGTCAATCACCACTAATCTTTTCTTTTTTTTAAAGCACTGGAAAGAAATTCAGACTCCTTGGACACCAGCTTGTAACCGTCTTATTACAATCATGACAGGCCAAGCACAGAGCAGGAAATTCATAAAGAGAAATTTGATATTTCTTTATATGAAAATAAATCTTTAAAATGTCAAATTTGTGTTCTGATTTCTTTATCCTGTTATTCCTAAAGACAGCTTCCATTTAGAGACAAGTTCATAAAAAATAAATGTTCATTTATATGAAATTCGGTTTAATAAAGTTTGATACACAACATGATCAAAATAATACGAAGAACATGGAAATAAAATTGAGTCCAAGATGAAGGCATGTCACTATAAGGGACCATTTCATATGGATTTTGTCTCTAAAGATTTTAATCATATACAGTAATCTAGAGAAAGGGATCATTAGTTCACCCATGCTTTTAATCAATTTCTTGTTTTAAAAAGGTATATCACATGAAAAATCATATTATGATCAGAAAAAGAACAAAGATTGTTTTGGTTTGATGAACAAGACTGACCTAAAGCAGACAGACTGCATTCCTCACAGCGAGGGAGGGCAGCTGGAGAAGGAAGAGGAAAAGAAAGAGGAAGTTTTGAAAAGAGAGAAGGTAAAAAAGCAGTTTGATAAAAAATAAAAGTCAGGTGTAAATCAAATAATCAACAGGTGGTGGATCCGTTGTTAACTTAACCAGGCAGCATTCTCACTGCAAAGTCCTAAATGTGACGAGGAGTTTGTGTGACTCTGTGTGTTTATGGTTCATAAGTGAAAACAGCCAAAGGAGAAAATAAACAATGATGAGGGTGTGAGATATGTTGGTACATGACACAGTTTGGAGAAAAGCATGGAAAAACAGAGGTGAAGAAAGGAGAGACACTACAAGAGAAATGATAAATTTGGAATAAAAATGTAAGAAAAAAAATCCTTTTTAAATAAAATCAAGGCCATGGAAACTTTCCCCTTACCTGAAAATGAACCCTTGGACATGGTTTGATGGGAAGATTCGAAGCGATTCTTCTTACCAAACTTCTTGAAGAACCATACGGCTTTGCAGAGCCAAAAGCCTGCAAGGAGACAATGGTGCACATTAAAGTGCTTATTATAGGGACTCCAGTTTACTTAACAGGAAATACAAGAATCCTAAGAAAAAAAAATAAACCCCACAGATCTGGTATCAAAGGAAATGTCACGTCCATTAAAATAAACGCATACTTTTAACTAGATGTGAATAAAGCACTGCTTATAATAATAACTTTAAAAATGAGTTTGGGATATATAGATTTTAAGAGAGATTCCTGAGTAATTTGGACTTTTAATTCTTTAAGAAGCACCACTTTATCCGGAATACCTTCCGGGTTTATTTAGATGTAACCAAATAACCATCAACAAGGAAAAATAAGAGAAGTAATGAACAGATTTTTCTATAATATTGTGTAATTATTTAAAATGTGGCAATAATAGTATGAATTATTATTATGGTTATTCAATTTTGCTGCTAAACTTTTTGACTGTTTCATAAAGATGTGAGCAGGTGCAATGTATGTCGATATTGCAAATTAACATAATGTGCAGCTCTAGTACAATAAAAAAAAAATCAATGCAAAAAAATAAGACTGTCACTCACCAAGTCCATGTCAGTCCTTGCATGTCCTCTATTCATTTCTGCTTGCAGGTTTCAAACTGGATCATTCCTCAAGATCAACATGATCCAAGAATCTGAAAGACAAATTACATTAAATTATTTTTAACACATGATCTAAGCCAATCTTTGCTACCATGCTTGTCAATATTTCACTTTAATAGGGTAAAAGTTTGACCCACTAAAACTAATTTAACTGTTTATTTCAAGTTTTTTTTATTTTTAATCCTCCTCCCACACCAACAAAGCTATAAAATGCAGTCTATAGCCATATCCTAACTTTTGATGGTCATGTTTGCGCCAGTTTTCCCGATTCCCAGAAAGTTTTCCCTGTAACCTTGTCTTCACCCGTGGAAATAAACAAGAAGCCATCACAAAATAAAACCTTAAACCGAAGGGTTTTTAAATAGACATGTGAAAGTGGCCGATTTAAGAAAGAAAATAAAAAATATGGATAACAACTTGTGCCAAAATTCTAACGAGTTTATCAACTTGACTTTCCAGACCTTCGGAGTAGCGGGTCACAATGCTAACTGATGCTAACGTTAGCAGCTAAGGTTTGCCAACTTTCCCAACATTCCACCTCTCTGGATATAACTCCTACACACGTAATGTAATGTATCAAATCGCTACTTGCTATAAACACCTGAGTTTTTCTAGTTATATTTTTAGTTTAATTTTAGCTCAATAAAAATTAAACTTACTCGAAAAAACCGCTATCTGACAACTTTCAGTAGTTTATTCAGTATCCAAGCACAGCGATAGCGTGTAGAACACCGATGTGGGGAGAGGTTTGGGAACATCATTTTAACCAATCAGATTATGGAATTTACAGAGCAGGGATTGGCAAATAAAAATGATTGACGTAATGTTTGACCAATCAACATTTCCCTTTCGAGCACATTTTGCTATCTGAGCGATGGAAAAGCCGGGGCTGTATGAGCATCCGGATATCACGTCAACGTCGCTGCCATATTCTGAGTGGCATTCAATGATTTGGATTAAGCTGTTTGTTTTAGATTGTTTTATTATATGTTCTCGCGTTTTATTTGCTGGTAAGAGTTATTGACGAAAGACCAAAATATAACAACAACAACAACAATAACAATAATAATAATGATAATAATAATAATAATAATAATAATAATAATAATAATAATAATAATAATAATAATAATAATAATAATAATAATTATTATTATTATTATTGTTGTTGTTTATCTATTTATTGTTATTTTTTTATGCATTCATCACATTGTCAGTCTTTTTAGCAGCAATTTCCCCAAACCTCATAAATCTCCACTCTTCACTGACCTCATAGGACTGACATGCATATGTATTGGAGAGTGTTGGGATTCAATAGATTTGTCAATAGACAGCTTTTACACACTCTCAGATGATTGAACAGAAAACATATATTTCACATTCAAGATTCACTACAAGCAGATTACGGATGCGTGGATATGGATGATTGATGTTTAAATTATCATTACTGAAAACTTTAAAATAAAAGAACTCTAAATCATCAAAGTCTAAATAGAATTATAAATTTGTTCAATGTGATCTGCAGATAATGCATTAGCAATGACATCAACAAATCTGATTTTATAAAAAAATATTTATCAAAGTAAGGTTATAGTAAACCCAGCAGAAAATAATTTTTGACCCGAATATGCCACTCACAATATGGCAAAAGCTCTGCTATCAGTCGCAGTCGCACGGAAAGGGTCGAACGGCGTCTACTGTTCTACAGACACATCTCATTGTCCAATCAGATTTCATGAAATCTGTAGACGTTTGTTTTATGTTTTCGCGCATCCCGGCAGAGAGGTGCCATATACAGCCGTACTGACATCATGTTGAGGGGCACTGGATTGTCCTTGATAACAAAACAGCTGCACCCTGTCGGTGTGCCTCTGAACCCAAACACTGAGCACAGCTGCTAGCTAAAGAAGCGCAGGGAAAGAAAGGGGACACAGGCCAAGCGGTGGTGAAATTGTTTTCGTTACGCTTTATTTTAGGTTGTTTCATTACGTAACAGTTGGTTTTGGTGTCGCTTTTCTACACGTATTGACACAACCAATCCAGGTTTATTAGGGAATTTCATGACTTAACTGACATAAAGCTAGCTTTCGAGTGCGGGTTGTTAGCTTAGCCTGGCCGCTATTGGTTGTGTATCACAGGGCGTGATTTAAGGTGAGCCTGGGGACAAATCGAGCTGTTAAGTTGACATTACTAACAGTTTAACATCAAAATGTATTTTGTTTCATTTGAGAGCTGCGGTTTTATCAGTGTGTGTCGATAAATGTAATCTATAACCAATCAGCCCAACTGGTGTAATAAAATTTAATTGATTTGGCATTGTATAAAGCTTATCAGCATTTATAATGCCATATTTTAAAATCAAAAGCTTTTTTATCATTAAAATTATCTTCCACGTGGTTAATGTTAACTAAGGATAGACATGTTAATTTTAGATTAGATACAGTATAAAAATGGATTCTCAATTCGTCATGTATTATTATATAGGACTTTGAATGGCTTAATCTATGTCCTATTATATAATCCTGAATATGTAATACATTTGCATGGGTATCTGTATGTATTGTAATTCAAATAATCCCAGTTAAAATTATTATTTTTTAAACAGTCTAATTCTGTAAGGAATTTGAGATTACATTTTTCTTGTTGATAACGCATTAGTTTATACTAAAAAAATAAACACTTTAAGTTTATTAAATATAACCATATTATGAAATCCCTGTTGTTATAATAGTAATTAAAAACCACAGATTATCTGACATATCTGTACAGCTTGGTACACTTTTTTTGGGTGCTTTCTGTCACTTTTCTCTACAGATTCCCATTAGCTCAGTCAAACTTGGGGAGTGTTGGCCTAGTGGATTAGAGCAGTGTGCTTGTCCTCTGACAAGGTTGCAAGTACCCGGTTTGTTCCCCACAGCCTCCGCTCTGGCTCCGTGAGCAAGACCCATAACCCCTGATTGCTCCCTGGGCGCCATTGTGGGACAGTAAAAGGATTTACATTTAAAACTTAATTGGCAGTGTTAGTGGAAAGCCATCTTTAGCTCTTTCTAGAGATATTCTATGCGATTAAAGACTAAGGTATTGCTCCAGAAGCCTCTAATTTTTAATCAACCTGTATGCTCCAATACATTTCATATGGGAAGATACATTTCCACTGCGGTTCGAGTCCCAGATAACTCTGCAGAGGGTTTCAGCTACATTGTATTGTACTGCTTCTGTCATCTTGTCTGCTACCCAAAATAATCATCCAGTTCCTCAGCAAAAAAACAAAAACAAAAAACACCCCACATTTTGATACTGCCACCACCTTGCTTCAAACTAGCTTTAACTTCTGATAACATGCTTGGAGTTCAGGCTAAAAAAGTTCATGCCGGGTTTCATCAGAGCTTAGGACTTATTTTTTCTAGGTTTAGCAATCTCTGAGCCTTTTTTCTTTAAAATTCTGGCAGGCTGCCATTTTTATCTGTCCACACTATCTCAAAGGTTTCATTGGTGGATTGTTCTCCTATCTGCACAGATTAACAGCGGAGCTTGGTTTTAGTCATTTGTTTTCAATCTAGGGGTCATGGATCAACAAGTATGGGGTCTTGTGATTGTCTGCAGAGAAAAAAATAAATATAATGATGCACATTTAGGGGTTTAGGAATATGGATACATAAAAAAAACCCCAAAGCAAATATATTTGTTTACTGATGGTTAACAGATATTTTATAATTTATTGTAATCCAAACAGTATTTTGGGTTCATGAGTTCTGCTGGTACTATTTTGTGGCTCAGAAGCTGAAAATTTTTAAAGTTTTGGAACCTCTGGTCTTTGTGACATTTTGTTCTTGGTTACTTTTCTGAAAGTAGCCTCTTCTTCCCTGTCTTCTCAAACAGGCTTCAAGATGTTAGAAGGATTATGATCGTTCCAAACTCCTTTCATTTGCAATGAATAAAGACCACATGCTTTTGGGATGTTCAGTTTTGCTAAAACTCATTTGTTTTTTTTTTCTTTTTATCCTTCAAAGGTTTTGGGCTCAGATAATTCCTTTGATTTCAGTGTGTTTGTTTTTTTGCCTGACATTCACTGTTAATCTGGAACTTTTTGTGGCATTCCAAGTTTTGTCAATTAGCTAAATTTACCTCAGTTTTAATCCACCCAAGTTGTTGAAATGTGTAAATGATTGTTCCTTGAAATGAGATGTACCTGGTCACAATTTTGGTTGTAATATTTAACGATAGGGAAATAAATACATCAACGTCCACAGGGGTCTTTTAATGGGCCTTTTTAGCTTTGATCAAACCAACTAACCGTTTATAAGATTTTAGCTTTGTTGTCATTAACCAGATAAATAAAAATTACTGTCCTGCCCACAGCTTATTTTTCAGCTAGTAAGATAATTAATTTCTTTATTATTGTTTTCTCCAGTAAAACGAAGAGGTTGGTTTGATGCACGTGCCACCAAAGCCAGAGGCACCATGAGTGCAGAGCTGGATGCACTGACTGTGGTCAACCAGCTGAGAGATCTCGCTGCCGACCCTCTGAATCGCAGAGCCATAGTGGAAGATCAAGGTTGCCTTCCAGGTCTCATCCTTTTTTTCGACCATCCAAACCCGCAGGTTGTCTACTCAGCCCTGTTGGTAAGTATTGCCTGCCGCATACACGAACAAATTGATCGGTTTTTACCGTCATGTCAAACAGAAGGGGGGATTGCTTTGTGTCAATGCAAAATTAACATAAACTGTGTTACATTCAATTTTTCTTAGCTGAATACATTTAAATTTGTGTTTTTCATCCCACCTCTACCAAAAATAAAAGCAGATTTTAGTTGCAGCTTTAAGGTGATTTCTAGCATGAAAACATCCTAGCATGAGAACAGCAATTTCTGCAACTGTCTGTTGTGTTGCAAATACAACACAAGCTTTTTCCTCAGCGTTTTAATTCACTAAAACCATTTAGTTCAGGACATGAACTGTCAGTGCTGGTGAAAAAGCCGCAAAGTCTGAGCTTATATAACATATGTGCTGCTGCCCATGGGCAATCATTTTAAAAGGTTCCTTTATAACAAAGCTCCTCATAAGAGACAGATAAAAGCTGCCCTTTCCCTTGCAGGCTGTGCGCTACCTGGCAGAATGTCGAGCCAACAGAGAGAAACTGAAGGGCGAGTTGGGCATGATGCTGAGTTTGCAGAATGTCATGCAGAAGTGAGTGTCTGTCTCTGACCTGTCAGAAACGCATGCTTAACGTGCACTTTCTTTTCACAAACATTTAACCTGGGATTTATTTATTTTTTTATTGGACAGTGTTTGCCATTCTGCAACATTTCATGACAGGATGTTGGTTTTCTCTTGTCATCTTTGTTTGAGTGTTATTAAAGCTGAATTACTGCAGGGTGGCAGAAAGGAAAACGCTTTATGCATGCATGGACAAATAAGGTTCTCACATTTTAACTGATGCTGGTATAAATTCAAAGGGATTTATTCTATTTTAATGTACTACTAAAAATAAAACAATGAAAATGGCCATTCATCTCGTTTGATATTAAAGTATAGTTATTACAGGCTTCATACAATTAGTTTAAACAACTGATAATATGAATGAAAGTAGCTCAGAGATGGAAAAGAATGGGAAGATCACATCGTGGTGCAAAAAGCTTAACCAGATGTGTGTCTGTGCATAATAAGCCAAAATCAGCTAAGACAGTAATGGGGCATGTAATGTGTGTAACAGCCAGTAATGACTTGTCCCTCATAATGTCTCAATCTAGTAAATAAAATGATAAAATATTGCAAATAATGACAAAACAAAAAAGAATATTCATCAAACCAAATACTGTTAAAACACTATCCAGGCTAGCTAGCTCATAGACAGAAGGCATGTCTGAGTAGCTGGGTTTTTATACATCTGCACTTAACATAAAAGGAGCAGATAATCTTACCATTCAGTTTGGAACTGATCATTTCCCTTCATTTTCAACTTTTTGTTCTCGTCACTTTAAAGGAGTACATCCCCCGGGGAGACCAAACTGCTGGCGTCTGAGATATACGAGATCCTGCAGTCAGCTGGTAAAGAAGAGGCAGAGCAGGCCGAAGCAGCTGCTGCCTCCTGCAGAAAAAAAGCCCACTTCTTCCTGGGCTCCAACAACAAGAGGGCCAAAACTGTAGTTTTGCACATCGACGGACTGGATGACTCTGTAAGTGTGTGCAGAAGGTTTCAGAGTTTTAACCTCCAAAATCGATCACATTTAAACGTCTTTTTTTTCAGCTCCACACTTGTGCTGCTGTCATCATCACAGATCTGCTCTAGCATCTTTGTTTGTCTGTGGGATATCTAAGAAGAAGGTTCAGGGCGTAGGTTGTAAATGTCAGCTTTTGAACAGCAGGATGCTGAGATCGAACCTGAGTGTTGCTCAGCAGGAAGGCTTCATCTAGATAGATTACATTACAGCAGACAGACGGCCTCTGGAGGTGGGGGCTGCACTGAAACACAACCCTGTGGAAGCTCAAAAATCAACATGCACAATGTTGCATTTGAAAGCTGTGTATACATTTAACAGATGATGCAAAGGAGTTTGTAGTTTGGTTATCCATTAGGATGAGAGCACTTCTATGCACATCTCTCTCACCTGTTTCCTATCGTTTCCTTTTAGACTCGAAGGAGCCTGTGTGAGGAGGCTTTGTTGAAGATTCGAGGGGTCATAAGTTTTACCTTCCAGATGGCTGTTAAACGATGCGTCGTCCGCATCCGTTCCGACCTTAAGGCTGAGGTAGTCCTTTTAATATGGGTAACAACTCCAACTTATCCTCGATTTATGGGGAAAAATGTGAACAGATTAATGAATAGAGCGGTCTTCTCTCAGGCATTGGGGACAGCAATTAACTCCACCAAAGTAATGAAGGCTCAGCAGGTGGTGAAAACAGAGGACGGAGGAGAGGTAAGGACCCCTGAGTGTTGCACTGTTTATTTAAAATGCTTTACGTAAAATCACCCCCCCACAGAGGGAATCAGGTGATAGGTCAGTGTGATAGATGTGGGCAGGTTTATAAGTTGACTTTATTCAGTTCAACACGATTAACCCCATATTTACCTCAGACTCATTGCATTTTGCAGGAATTGGATTACTTCCTAATTTAGAATTTCTAATTCATTATGCAGGTTTTATGGTATGATGCATCAGTTATTTGTAGTTTTAATACAAAATTGTGCTTATTAAAGGATAACTGCTGATGCTGAAAGTCTGATTTCTACAGCTGAAATGCTGCTTCATTTTCAGTGAAAAACTATGAAATCAGACCGTTTTATAGGAGTTAAATAATGAGCTGAAAGCTAATTAGTTTAAACTAAACATTAAACAATGTTTATTAAACACAAATTAAGTGGGCTAATCGACCATCGCAAACAAGTGTGAGTAAGAGAAGGCAGGATTTCTATGGTCAATAAATATACACTATATTGCCAAAAGTATTTGCTCACCTGCCTTGACTCACATATGAGCTTAAGTGACATCCCGTTCCTAATCCATAGGGTTCAATATGACGTCGGTCCACCCTTTGCAGCTAGAACAGCTTCAACTCTTCTGGGAAGGCTGTCCACAAGGTTTAGGAGTGTGTTTATGGGAATTTTTGACCATTCTTCCAGAAGCGCATTTGTGAGGTTGCACACTGATGTTGGACGAGAAGGCCTGGCTCTCAGTCTCCGCTCTAATTCATCCCAAAGGTGTTCTATCGGGTTGAGGTCAGGACTCTGTGCAGGCCAGTCAAGTTCATCCACACCAGACTCTGTCATCCATGTCTTTATGGACCTTGCTTTGTGCACTGGTGCACAGTCATGTTGGAAGAGGAAGGGGCCAGCTCCAAACTGTTCCCACAAAGTTGGGAGCATGGAATTGTCCAAAATGTCTTGGGATGCTGAAGCATTCAGAGTTCCTTTCACTGGAACTAAGGGGCCAAGCCCAGCTCCTGAAAAACAACCCCACACCATAATCCCCCCTCCAACAAACTTTACACTTGGCACAATGCAGTCAGACAAGTACCGTTCTCCTGGCAACCGCCAAACCCAGACCCGTCCATCAGATTGCCAGATGGAGAAGCGCGATTCGTCACTCCAGAGAACGCGTCTCCACTGCTCTAGAGTCCAGTGGCGGCGTGCTTTACACCACCGCATCCGACGCTTTGCATTGCACTTGGTGATGTATGGCTTGGATGCAGCTGCTCGACCATGGAAACCCATTCCATGAAGCTCTCTGCGCACTGTTCTTGAGCTAATCTGAAGGCCACATGAAGTTTGGAGGTCTGTAGTGATTGACTCTGCAGAAAGTTGGCGACCTCTTCGCACTATGCGCGTCAGCATCCGCTGACCCCGCTCCGTCAGTTTACGTGGCCTACCACTTCGTGGCTGAGTTGCTGTCGTTCCCAAACACTTCCATTTTCTTATAATACAGCTGACAGTTGACTGTGGAATATTTAGGAGCGAGGAAATTTCACGACTGGATTTGTTGCACAGGTGGCATCCTATCACAGTTCCACGCTGGAATTCACTGAGCTCCTGAGAGCGACCCATTCTTTCACAAATGTTTGTAAAAACAGTCTGCATGCCTAGGTGCTTGAATTTATACACCTGTGGCCATGGAAGTGATTGGAACACCTGATTCCAATAATTTGGATGGGTGAGCAAATACTTTTGGCAATATAGTGTATATATTATTAGATATCACATTTCTAACCTAAAGCCACCCTAAACTCCAGTGCTTTCAGCAAACATAACCCCACGCTGTTCTCAGAGCAGAACTCTGGATGGAATGAAACCTGTTAATAACTTGGGCTTCGTTCTCATTGATGATGCTTTTACTTACTATAAAGGTAATAGCTACACGTTTTTCATCAAAACAATAATAAAAAATAAAAAAAAACATCCACAGAATGTGTAAGTTGTTGCAGAAGAAAAAGATAAATTTTACTAAAAAACAAAACAAACATCCATCCATTTTCCATCACGCCTTATCCCAGCTGGAGTAGCGGGGGGTGCTGGTGCCTATCTCCAGAGATGGGAAGTAACGAAGTACAAATACTTCGTTACTGTACTCAAGTAGATTTTTCTGATATTTTTACTTTACTTTACTACTTATTTTTATGGCGACTTTTTACTTCTACTCCTTACATTTTTACACAAATATCTGTACTTTCTACTCCTTACATTTTAAAAAATTGGCTCGTTACTTTAGTTTTGAATCATTTCAATGGAGTTAAAACGGAGCCGTTTTCCCCCTCTGTTCCCAGTGTAGCCGCCGTCTATCACACACAGCGTCACATCCTTCACTACATTTCCCAGCATGCACCACAGACCGGCCGTCATGGCGGTAATTCTCACTAGTTCCGAAATTACAACGTCACCTTTTATTCAACACTTTACTTACTCACCAGCGTAGCAAACTCTGAAGGTACCCACTGCGACAGCTTTAATATACATTCCGTAGTCGGCAATAAAACTTCCCAGTAAAAATCTTCCCTTAGTCCGTCAGCATACTGGTCCGTGTGGAAACACGTACCGCATCGGAGCCAGTCTCTTATCTATTGTCCCAGGGCATTGGAAAAGAGGGGGCAGGGGTATTAAGTGGGATTTCAATGTATGTAATAATTGTTTGCATGGTAATAAGTAGGTGAAATGGTAATGTTAGTATGGTTAAATTATTTCATAAATATGTATGTTTTTGTATGAATTATGCTATTGTCTGTTTTTATTTTTCTACAATGTTAACTGTGCTTTATTGGGGATTTGCCTTTCTGTTTAATTGGGCTGTCCCAATTGACTGATTATTGGTGGGTCTATTTAAGGGGCACACTCACAATGGCTTAGCAGGGCTGCTTGGAGAGACTGGTTGGAGAAACTGCTTTTGAAGGTCTGCTTAGAGAGACTATATTTAAAGTCAGCTTGCTGTGAGGCTGTCAGTGTTTTGTATTGCCTGCAATGGCCGGTTTTGTCTTCACCGTTGCACCAGTAAATAAACCGCTACACGCTTTTGAACTCGCATTTTGTTGTCAGCTGGTTCTTACCACCTTTTTGCAAGTCATCTGCTTACACCTCCTCTGACGTGAGACGGGAGCTGGCAAGCCGTTATCTCACAAATACCAAATTCAATCTAATTGGATGGGAATCTACGTTGCATTTGACGCACCACTACAAGATGAATCGACAGATTCGGCGGTATTCATTGGCGGCAAATCATTGCAGCTTGGTGGCGGTGGCATTAGCATAGTAGCATGGACGACGAGATGATTGAAAATGAACACAACGGAGATCTAGTCCTATTGGCAGACATCCATTTAAAATGTAGGCAACGGCATGAAAAAAGTGGTTTCTACTTTTACTTTTATACTTTAAGTAAATTTACAAGCCTTTACTTTGTTACTTTTACTTGAGTAAAGAAGTTTAATCAGTACTTCCACTTTTACCAGAGTATTTTTTAACACAAGTATCTGTACTTTTACTCAAGTACGGAAAGTGAGTACTTTTGCCATCTCTGCCTATCTCTAGCTGTCAACGGGCGAAAGGCAGGGTACACCCTGGACTGGGCGCCAGTCCATCGCAGGGCAACACAGAGACAAACAAGAAAAACCATCATTTACGCACACCTAAGGAGAATTTAGAGAAGCCAATTAATCAAACAGTCATGTTTTTGGATTTTGAGAGGAAGCTGGAGTACCCAGAGAGAACCCACGCATGCACAGCAAGAACATACAAACTCCATGGGAATTGAACCAGGAACCTTCTTGCTGTTCCACTAGGCAGCCCCAAAACAAACATATAATGTCTAAATAATTGTTTTATAAGTTTGAACCAGCCTGAATAGTCGGCTGAAAGTAGTGATTCAGAGTTCAAGCATATCCAGATAGTTCGGTGATAGAGCTGAGATATGGCTTCTTCTTGGTCTTACATTGTTCAGGTTCAAGTCCAGAAAAAATACAAAAAAGAAGCAAAAAGAGGCTGAACATTGGTCAAGCTTTTAACTTTTTGATGCTTTGCTGGCAGTTAAGTTAGATATTTACTAAGGCTAGCATTAGTAGATGTTAAACTTGTAGCTAACACATTTAAATGAGCCATAAAACATTTACTGAAATATAAATCCAAATAATTCTAAATTGATTGTAATACCAATCACTGTGAACACCTGGTCCTCTCATTTAACGTCATAGTTTTTCTCCTTTCAAACCTACCTAGGTATAGTGTGTAGCCCCCATTTTCTGGTTCTTGATATCATAACAGAGTTCCTAGGGTGTCTAAAAACAGCACAGGGGGGCCTAGGTGTGTAGTTCCAATTTGGATCGCTAGGCGTCACTCGCAGCTATTGCTCCGTTAAAACCTTCTGAAAAGTAACATAAAATGCATTTCTGGTATCATTTGTGTTTTTTTATACATAAATGCCATTATTCATTTGGTGGATCTTTTCACCAATGTTGGTGAATTATAAACCGTATATAATGTAATACTCCACATAAGGAGTTGGAACAGGTTTTTGGAAAAAAAAAAATCCTGTTTTTAGTTAGCAAAAATCTAAACAATAGAAAATATTTAACTTTAGCTGAACAGGAATGTTGGGAATTCTCATCTACTCCTGTCAATAACTTCACTCTTAAGCTGGAACCGTTTGGAAAAGGTTTAATTACAGGTAAAGACATGGAATATTTTAGCTAGATTGATGGAGACACATCTTTGATTTATGGTCCATCTAAAAAGTATTCCCTTTATTTCAGGGCTATTTTCTGTGGAACATTTCTACTCTGATCTACCTCACATTTTTCAAAAAATCATGAGATGGTAAAAATATGGCTAAATAAATTAATGAAAATAGCAATTTAAAAAATTGTTGTCTCAACTACTTTTTCTCTGACATTTGCCTCCAAGCCTGTTTAGCATTTTAGACCATATATACAGTCAGTGTCTGCGATGGACATCAACTGCAGTTTATCCTAAAGACCGAAAAGCACATTTGTTTTTAAAGAGAAGGCCCACGCCAGTCCAAAATTTGTGATAATTATTATGTGCAATCATATTAAAAAGATAATGTGGTTGTGACATATTATTTAGCCTTACTAATAATCTGATTCAGCCCTGGTTTCTGCAGCAAGAATAAAATCAGTAAAAAAAACATCATCCGGGTTCTAGCAGTGGAAACAAACTAGAAAGATTGGTAAAAAAACAAACATACCCCATATGGCCAGCAGGGGTCAGTCATACCCCAGTCATTTCTTGCAGCCATATTTTATAATATTTTTGGTTTTACTGTCAATTTAAAAGCAGTTTGTTTTAAATTAAAATATTTTAGCTTTTTGTGAATTTATCACTTTAAACAAGTCTGCTCTGTATTGTCTTTCTTTTTCTCCCTGTCTTTACTGTAGCTGGTGGTACCATTCCAGGAGGACTCATCAGTGCTGGTAGAGGAGAACACAGACATCCCAGACTACCTACCTGAGGATGAGAGTCCATCACTGGAGCACGACAAGGCCGTCACTCGCGTAGGATCGGTCACAGACGGCCTGGGCTGGCTCAGCACGGCTGCTAACTTCCTGACACGCTCATTCTACTGGTGACAGCTTCCTGTGCGTCTTCCTCTGCTCCCCCTGTTAGCAGATACCCTCAGTATAGTGTTGGACTTCACCCTGCATCATTAGTTTTAGGCTCTACTCTAAACAGCGCACATACTGGACTGCCAAGCAGAACATGCAATAATTTTAACATGAGCATAAATTAGGCTACAAATCCCTCAGCAAGGCTGTATGTTCACCACTATAGACTAACTGCAGACGTATTTAGAGGACATAGCCAAAAGACTCCATATACTACAAAACCAAATAGCTTTCTGGAAATTAGTCAAATAATATTGAGCAACAGGATTAATGGGAGGTTCTTTTAACCGTCTTCTCTTTTTGTGCATGACTTTATTACTTTATTTGCATCTAATCGGATATTGATTCTTTAGATACTTTCATATTTGAAAGTTTCACCGTTTTTTGCTTTGTTAATTTGTCTTTTCAGCATGTTATGTGCCATTATCGCCTGATGCCTACATCCACCAGTGATGTGTCTGCTCTTTTGAGATTTGTTTATTCATACTTTATTTGAAATGATATTAGAGCTCTGGAAAATGCTGTTAGACACCAGCAAAAACTGTTCTGTATTCAGCCACTGGCCCCCTGCTCATCAGACTGAACAGTTTTTTTTTTTTAATACACACCTTTATGACTGATTGTTTCAGGGGCATCTAAATGTATTTCATGAATTAATTGAATTAATTTAATTTAATGGGGGATTATATACAGATTCACTCCACACTGAAGTATTTCTGTTAGTTCTCATGACAGTTTATAGACAATGAAAACCCTAAAATCCATTTTTGGGAAAATTAGAATAACAAAACGCTTTTAAGACAGAAATGTAAACCTGTGGCGAAGTATCAAATCTGCACAGTTTATGAGCTCAGGGTGGGGTACCCCGGTTTGAAACTACAGCCTCAGTGCTGCTGTATTTCAGGTAAGCCTGGTTGGCTTGATAGCATCTGTTGAGATAAAACCAGGTACTGTTCATTTCATTAGGGTGATCAGGTGCCCAGTCCTGCTGGAAAATGTCTCCTGCTTGTTAACAGCTTGTTAGCAGTAAGCAACTGGAAGCTCTCTAAAATGTCCTGGTAGACGTGTGAGCTGACTGGACTTTCTAAAGGACAGAGGCCAAACATCACTGGCTCTAAAAAGTATAACTCCAGCCTCAGTCCAGGCTTTTCTATAGGAATGCACCATCTATCAGCGCTGTCATTGGTGTTGGCGAATTATCGGTTCCATAATTAGAACTGGGGGAGGATGTACTGCCTCTAGTGGAGGAGTTTAAGTATCTTGGGGTCTTTTTCACGAATGAGGGGAAGATGGAGCGGGAGATCGACAGGCGGATTGGTGCGGCGTCTGCTGTGAAGCGTTCCCCATACCAGTTTGTAGTGGTAAAGAGAGAGCTGAGCCAAAAAGCAAAGCTCTTCGGTCGATCTACGTTCCTACGCTAATCTATGGTCATGAGCTTTGGGTCATGACAGAAAGAATGAGATCCCGGATACAAGCGACTGAAATGAGTTTTCTCCGTAGTGTGGCCGGGCTCTCCCTTAGAGATAGGGTGAGGAGCTCAACCAATGGGGGGGGGGACTCAGAGTAGAGCTGCTGCTCCTCCACAGCGAGAGGAGCCAGTTGAGGTGGCACGGGCATCTGATTAGGATGCCTCCTGGACGTCTCCCTGGTGAGGTGTTCCAGGCACATCCTACCGGGAGGAAACCCAGGGGGAGACCCAGGACACGCTGGAGGGACTATGTTTCTCGGCTGGCCTGGGAGCGCCTTGGGATTCCCCTGGAGGAGCTGGTCGAAGTGGCTGGGGAGAGGGAAGTCTGGGCCTCCCTACTGAAGCTGCTACCCCCATAACCCGACCCCGGATAAGCGGAAGAAGATAGATGAATGGATGGATGGATAATTAGAACTGTGCCGATGATCGTGCTGTTTGTGTGTTTGGTCATGTAACTGCGTTTTCATTGACCATCATATTGCACAAACTGTAATTACAGAAATAAATTGGCTAAATGGAAAAACTGCAAAAAATCCATGTTTTTCGATTAAAAAGTGTTTTACATTTCGATGAGGTGGTTTTTCGGTCGCATCGAAATTGCTGATTGTTGATTTTTTTTCGTATCACACGCGTCACGTAGTCTGCAGCTGGACCTTGCCAACCTCTATAAAGGCAAAGAAGAAGACCAGGTAGTTGAAGGATAATTGTGCTCTATAGAGCTGTGTGTTTACAACTGCAGCTGCAGATTATTGCGTAAACAAAAACGCATTCACATGAAATTTCTATTGTATGAGTTTTCGGGCGCACGACCCATGTACAGAGGCCTTAGTTCTCAACCTGGCCGACCCTGGTTCGAATCCGGCCTGAGGTCCTTTGCTGCATGTCTCTCCCCCTCTCTCATATCCCCATTTCACGTCAGCCTACTGTTGAAAAAACAACCCACTAGTGCCGTAAGAACTCAAAAAAAAAAAAAAAACAACTTTTAAGTTTTCAAATTTCGCTGAGTTTGTGTTTTACTTCAGACTAACTCAAATCTGCATCTTTGTTTTTCAATTTCAGTCCTAATTTTTTCTTCCACTCAGCTTTCCATCAATATCATTTGAAGCACCACTGTAAAATGACAGTTTCTTTAGTAATGGCTTGCCGTTCTCATTTAAAAATGAAATTTTATCGGTCTGTGATACTGAAAATTTCAGAAAAAGTTATTTTGGGGTTTTCATTATCCGTTATCTTGGATTTCATTTCATTCTGTGTGTACTGAATCCATATATTATGATATATCTCATAAATAATGCAACGTTTTGATATTTCATACATTTAGATGCCCCTGTACTGTACCCGACTGATGTGTTTGATTGCTTTAGTGAAAAATCAAAACAGCTATGGTGAAATCATGCAGCCAAAAAAACTCACAGGAGCTCCCTGGTTGGCTGTTTTTCCACTGACGACTCTTTTAGCTACCTCCGCTCTTCACACCACCCTGGGCTGTGATCCTCTGTCCTCTTAGTAACACTATAGCTCTGCAAGATGAAGATAGAACTGTTAGCCACCTGCTTGTTAAACAAATCCCTCTCATACCTGGATCTCCTCGGCTAATTTTTCTTTGCAGTGTCGCCACCACAGTTTAGCCAGCAGTGTCCTTACAGCAGCTACCATGTTGGCGCACACTCACACATTTGAAGGACTCAAGCGCTGTGGAGGAGGTGGTTGATGTATATTTTGTAAATGGTGCCTCATTCCCTTACATGAAGAATTTTTTTTTTTTTTTAGGTTTGTTTTAATAATTCTGGCTTTTATTGTAGGTCACAAATGATAAGAGCTTGTAGCAGCTGATGTTTCTTTTATTTGACTCTCCTGAATTCACCTCAGGTTTAATTGTTCTGACTTGTGTCATTAGCAGTTATTATGTTCAGTGCTTACAGGGCCATTTTCAGTCTTCTATGCGTTGGAGATGTCACATTTGGTTGGATTCAAACTATGAAAACAGCATAGAAAAGCATAACTCATAATGGTTATCCTCTGAAAAGCAATACTTTTTTTAAATATGTCACCATAGGTCAACAAAACGCCCCACAGAATAACATCAACAGGAAGAGCATATGTCCGCAGTATTACTTTGTCTTTTTAATCTGTCCATGTTGCAGTTCACCTTTGTTGCATGTAATTTGTTTTTAGTATTTCAGCTCATTTTGCAAAGAAAATACTTGAAACTTGTTCAGTTTTGTTTCGTCATAATCCTGCGATGTAACATTGAGAAAAAGCCACTGACAAAGTCCATGAAAATGTAACTTGTTGTGTACAAACTCTGCAGATGTAATATAACCTGTGCAGATTTTAAAAGCTGTAGATTCCTGTACACTGTCAATACAAACTATGATAAACAGCAAAATAAGACTATCTGTGCCGCTTTTTATTCTTTGCTGTTCGTTTGTTTTTGTTTTTATTATCAACATGGTGAATTTTGTCCTCACCACTCAGTCCTGTTTTCCGTGTCAAATCGATTTGCTAAGGATGAATAAAATTCCCTCAACAGGAAAGGAGGGAGAAGGAAATTCAGTTTTCTGTACCAATGCATAATCAAGGTGCCCCGGGGCAATTCTTTGGCCTGCCTACCACCCCCCCATCCCCCAGCAGAGGTGCTGGTAGGCAGGAGGAGGTAGCAGCCAAGTCCAGCTGGAGGCCCTGGAGCCACTGATGCTGCTGATGCTGAGCCTCCGATGCAATCCTCTGCCAAGCTATGGAGAGGCCTTTACTTTGCTGCTGCATCATCTGAATGGATGCTGACTGAAAATAACATTTCTAGTTAACTTTTGTTTAGCTGGAAACCACTGTTGTGAAAATTAGGATTTGGTTACTTTTTGCATTCAATGTACGTTCATGAGTTTTCCTTTAATATTTCATGTGACATTGTCTTGTATAAACTTTTTTTTAAACATAATTTTAAAGCACTGAATTTCAAATAATTTCTTGAGAAAAGGCGACAGCTGCCTGTACATTCATTGTCCCTAAAAAAATAATTTCAGCTTTTATAACGGGACTGTAATCTCACATTGAAGGAAGTAGAAACATGTCTTTTTTTTTTCTACATCGATTGAAAAGTGTAGATTGAGTTGATAAAATCATCTTTGCAACCATTTTTGCTGTTTTATGAAACTTCTCAGAGTAACAGAATCTATTTCTTTCTTCCTCATGTTCTTATTTTCTGTTTTCTTCCATGTGTAAAGTTTACTTGCATACAATGAAATTAGCCTAAAAATAATGGTGATCTTTCAATTTGAGAAAGTTGTATGGAAAAGTCTGCCATTTTTCCATGAAAAATCTGTGGAAACCCTTTTTGTGTCGCATCACATTTATTTATACCCCAAAGAAACAGGATGTCATGTTACTGATTTAAAAAGTCAGTGAAATATGCGGTGTGCATAAAAATAACTGCTTTAGACTGACACAATAACCTTTTATTATACTAAATAAATAAGAAAATAAAACTTGTCTAAGTTTATACTGTACATTTAACAGGACGGGCCCAATGCCTAAGCAAACTAAATTACTGCTTATGGCCCCAGGACAACTAGCAAGGGCCATTCATTGTTGGATTATTAATTTTTTGCATGTATAATATTCTCTTTCTAGACATTCAGGGATATTGAGGTATTGCGTACATATTGAACGTCAACATTTTTCTCCGTAAATATATTTCTAGAGGTGCTATTGATACGTTATTTTTACCAGAAGTTGGTAACAATCCATGCAATCCACACATACAAAGAAATGAAACCATAGATGTCCAGAAATTAAGTTATGTGTAAAAAAAATATTGAGCACACTTACCTTTGTTGGCAATGACAGCTTCAAGACGCCTCCTGTATGGAGAAATTAGTCTCATGCATTGCTCAGGTGTGATTTTGGCCCATTCTTCCACACAAATAGTCTTCAAATCTTGAAAGTTTTGTGGGTTTCTTCTATAAACTCCGATCTTTGCTTCTTTCCATAAATGTTCTATTGGATTCAAGTTGGGTGATTGGCTGGCCGATTCTAGCAGCTTTAATTTCTTACTCTGAA